ATATGTAGACTGCCCTGAGTCGCCTGCGGGCTGATATGAGCGGGATATAAAAATGTAAATAAATAAATAAACAAACAGGGCTGAGGTGGTGTCCAAATCAGAGTGATTAAGGTGCTGGCTGAAGAAAATCATTATATTGCACGATTCCACAAGTTAAAATGGGTCTATAAGGGTCTAGTGACCTGGCCCTCTGATAAAAAGTTTGAGGACCCCTGGGTTAGAGCAAACGTAGACAACTTGGGTTCTCTGTTTTGGACTTCAACTCCCACAGATCCTAACAGCCTTAGGTCCCTTCCTTTTCCCCCTCAGCCGCTTAAGTCGCTTCCCACAATAGGCTTCCCACAGTAAGCTGGCTGGAATTTCCAGGTAAAGGCTGTAAACTTGGGCAACTTGAACCCTCCGGATATTTTGGACTTCAACTCCCACAATTCCTAACAACCATAGCCCCCTTCCTTTTCCCCTTCAGCAGCTTAAGCTCAAGTCCAAAACACCTGGAGGGCCCAAGTTTGCACATGCCTCGGTTAGAGCACCAGAGAGGCAACAAATTCTAATGGAAGGATAAGTACATTTAATGGAGTTGTGTGGAACTGAAAGGGTGAGGCCTGGAGAAACAAGTCAAATCATGCTGGAGACGGAAAGCCTTGCGAACATAGTTTCTTTTTTTCCTCCTTCCTTCTTGAATGTTGCAGTTTATCCTGGTGTTTGGAAAGTTCAGCATGCATGCCAAGAAAATTTCCAATGCACATGGTGAATCAAATCTAAACCGGTTTTTCCATTTTTAAAAAATTGAAGGTTCTAACTGCCTTTTTGAAAGGAAATTAGATTTTATATATGTCTGAGAGAAGGTTTCCAGTTAAAACTGGCCCTAAGGTTTCGACAGTTTTCTGGGACTGAGATTGTGTGACTTATCTACAGTCACTCAGTGGGTTTTCATGGCTCAGTAGGGATTAGAACCTCTGCCTCCAGTCATAGTCTATGGGCCGTGGTGGCACAATAGATTAAACCATTGAGCTTCTGAACTTGCTGACCAAAAGGTTTGCGGTTCAAATCCACAGAATGGGATGAGCTCCCGCTGTTAGCCCCACCTCCTGCTAACCTAGCATTTTGGGGGGAAAACATGCAAAGTAGAGTAGTGAGTAGATCAATAGGTATCGCCTGAGCAAGAAGGTAAATGGCACTCTATGCAGTCATACTGTCCACATGACCTAGTAGGTGTCTACAGACAACGCAGGCCCTTTGGTTTTGAAATGGAAATGAGTGTCACCCCCAGAGCCGGAGATGAGCGCTACCCCCCAGAGATGAAGGGGAAGCCTTTACTTTTATTTGTGTATCTGTGTTTCATTTTTTGAGGCATTGAATGTTTGTCTTGTTTCTGTTTATGTCTGAAATTTAACAGAAAAAAGGAAACATCAGTTGTGATTTTTATGCAGTAATGGGAGTGTGAGGATCTGAAGGTTGTATTTGATAACTTCTGTGTGCACACAGAGAACACTTGATATCTTTAGGAGTTGGCAAAATGCAGTCCTTGAGAAGACTGCAGCTGTAACCCAGCAGAGTTGATCTGAAGAATGCAGGGAGTCAATAGTCCAATCATCTGCTTTTGCCACATTTACTCCAGATCATCAAACAGAATACCTTTACAGAGCAATTATGTACAGCAGTCACATTGGCTCTGAGTTTTCCATATTACACATGAAAAATGTGGAAGACAGATATGTGGACTTAAGCAGCTGTGATGATTTGCAAACTTACAGTCTTGTGTCTTTCAGGATATGTGTTTTATGCTTCCATGTTATAATTGTGTTTCTGCTGGACACACTGTATGCTATATCTTTAATTTCAGCCAATGTAATTTTGCTTGGTTGAATGGATAACATCAAAACAACTGGCAGACCAAAGGTTGGGGACCCCTGCTCTAGGTAAAGAACATGCTATCGGGTGCTTGAAGCAGTATTCTTTAATGTGTGTGTATTATACAAACAGCTAGTAGTATAACCGGTTTAACAAGTTTATTTGGTAAATATTTGAGCTGTATACACCTGTCTTGTACATTGAGTCTTCTAAATAAACCCAGAATTAAGTAGAAACCCCTCCCTCCCTGCAAATGTGGTTATTTAAAGGGAGCTGAGGCAGTTTCTGCTGGATTTAATCCTCTTTTCCATTGCCACCCCCTTTCCTTTTGTGCTCTGTCTTTAGATTGTAACCCCAGAGTGGCTTGAAACTGTTCTCCACCCTATCCCGCTGTTCTTTTTCTTGTGAAGCACAAGGTTCGAATGTTGGACTCTGATTCTGGAGACTAGGATCTGAATCTCCACTCAGCCAAAGAAACCATTGACTAAAATAGTTTTTGGTGCAGTAGAATGTTTTGCCAATAAAACACTGATAGATTAACTATCAGTCTGAAATGACATCTGCACAAGGCACATGGCAACAAACAATGAGAATACTACATAAACTGGTAGTAGTGATATATGTATAATACATCTGAGTATAGTAAACTGATATATGAAAGAAGATTTTCTACCCATATCTTTTACCCATAAGACATATTCTGCATTGGAAGCTGCATGCTCATCCAAGATAGCTGACCTATTTCAGCTCGGGATTTCAAATTAGTGCCTTGGAAACTACTTCCTTGTCCATTAAAAACGGTAATAGACAGCATACACCCCTCCAGATATTTGGACTTCAAATCCAATAGTCCCTCACTATTTGCTAGAACTGATTGGAATTGCAGTCCAACAACATCTGGAGGTTTAGACATTGTACAGTACTTCCCTGTTCTCGGACCTAAATCTTAGCTTTTGTGCTTATTGGAAGTAGAGTCAGCCCCTTCACTTTTTCTTTCTTGTCAAACTGATTGGAATTCTAAAATCATTTTCCACATGTACAATGCCTGGTATTCTGCTTTTGCTATGTTTAGATCAGATGTTTGCATGCGGTGTGTATACAGTTCATACATTATATATGGAGGGAAAATCGAATATTCCAGTGAGCTTATTAAACATGTTTAAATCTGTATTACATTGTGTTCTGGGCTGTTCATTTTTTTAAAAAAATATTTTCCTTAAACATCAAAGTATTTTTTTTCATCCATTATAACAGATGGCAGCACAATGTGTAACAAAGGTGGAGCTGACCATGTCCTGTAGCAATCTCTTGGATAAAGATGTCGGTTCCAAGTCAGACCCACTGTGTGTGCTGCTTCAGCACACAAGTGGACAGCAGTGGTATGAGGTACAGTATGATAACACTTTGAATACTTTTGTGTTCCATTTGGCAGTGTTCCACATTTTAATTTTGTTGTTAAGGAAAACAACAACAGCCAGCCAACTATATCCAGAGATTCAACCATCCCTAGCTTGATAATATTTTTAAAAATCTGAAAGGCAAATCTTGATTTTGCCCTTTTATATCAGAGACACAGTTATATATAGTGAGACTTAAACATCTACAGCAAGGTTGACCAAGCTTTGATTTCCCTGGGCCACATTAGAATAAGAAGGGCCACATATAAAAGTGATAACACTAACAATAATTGATGAGGGGGAAAAAATCAGTGCATCATTTTCATGATATTTATCACCACTGATAAGCAAAAGTCATTGAGTAATAATCCTAATTATGTGTCAGCGCACCTTTTTAAAATAATCAAGCAGGTCTTCTGGCTGAACTGTTTTTAATTATAATGTGAATTACAGATAATACTACAGTATTTGTAAACATAACATACTGTGATTATCCCATTGTCATCTACGAAATTCACTCTTGAGAACCACTCAAAGAAAGTTACAAAGAAAGTAAGTTTGTGATTTTAAGTAACTTTACAATTTTGTGTTGGGCTGTATTCAAAGGTAGGACGCCACATGCTGCCCGTTGGGCTGCAGGTTGGATAGACCTGACCCACAGATATGAGGGGTCCACTGAATTCTTCTCTTTGTTTTGCACCTGCAGTACTTTAAAGAAATAGTTTTATCCTCATGAATCACATCAGCATCTATTTTGCAACTTTTTGCTTTTTCTGGGTGTGCACAACAACTTTGTCGTGTTGAGCTAAAGTTTAAAGCCAGGATGAAAAGCAGCCTTTTCCAGGGGCAATTCTGCCTTCAACCAGCTCATTTGCCAAATTACATTTCAGCTATAGAATGTGATAGTTGCACAAGATTTTAATTAGTAAAAGTGAACTGCAATAGTGTAATGACCTCTATGTTATATTGCAGGTTGATCGCACAGAAAGAATAAAAAATTGTCTGGACCCAAAGTTTTCAAAGAGATTTCTAATTGATTACTACTTTGAGCTAGTCCAGAAACTCAAGTTTGGAGTGTATGACATTGACAATGCAACAGTTGAGCTGAGTGATGATGACTTTTTAGGAGAATTTGAATGTACCTTGGGGCAGGTAGGTACAAATTGTTCCTGGATTTTTCTCTGTTACTTTCAAATAATTGTGGTACAGTTAGCTCTCCGTATCTACAGACTCAAACAAGCACAGCTTGAAAATATTTTCTAAACATTCAAAAAGCAAAGCTTAATTTTGCCAGTTTATTTAAGTGACATCATTTTATTATATTGTATATATTTGAGCATCTACGGATTTTGGTATCCTTGTGAGGTCTTCGAACCAAACCTAGGGCAGTGGTTCTCAGCCTGTGGGTCCCCAGATGTTTTGGCCTTCAACTCCCAGAAATCCTAACAGCTGGTGAACTGGCTGGGATTTTTGGGAGTTGTAGGCCAATATACTTGGGGACCCACAAGTTGAGAACCACTCGGGGATACCAAGGTTCAACTATATTGTTTTGTTCTGCTCACAAAAATAACCTACCCCTCTTTGTTTACTTGAAGAAAAAAGTGTGGGAAAATGATTTGTAAGTCTTCATTCTGTCATGTCTCCTTTTTAATGAGAATAAGTTCTTTATTACTTATGAGAAGTGTTCCTAGCATTCTATGTGATATTTCCATGGATTAATTTAAGCATAGTACTAAATATATATTTAAACAGTTTTCATAAATTGGAGCAAACCGTCTTTAAAAACCTAATGTAAATACATAGTACCAGAGACAGACTTCTTTTAGTAACCTGTATAGATGATTATTATTTATAGATTTTCTATATCTTTCCCCCATTTTCCATCTCTTTTCACAAGCAAGCCATTCTACATAATGATGGTGATTGTTGGGAATTTTAAGTTTGTCTATTTTGAGCTGTTTCTAGAATATCTGTCTTATCTTAAGGAAATCATGGTTTCTTAAACTGAAAATAAGTGTTCAACCTGTATGCTTGATCACTGTTGCAAAGCCATTTTGCTTACCTCACCTATGTTTCCATCCTATAACCTTTGATCTAAGGTCACGAGAACCTACATGACAAACTATAAGGAAAAGGTCTCTATTGCTAGTACAGCCAAAGTTCTATAACAGACGAGTGGGATAAATATCAGCACTACAGATAAATTAAACTAAATCAAGATGAGCATGCAAGACACAAAGATGTGATTTGTTTTGTTTTTTGTTTTGTTTTTTTAATTACATAGCTCACCATTACATAGCAACCCCTCAGAAACCCCTTGACAACCCCATATGGGGTTACAACGCATGGGTTGGAGACCACTGAGTTAGATAGATTTGGTTTTGATTCCTAATACTTAACAATGCCTTAACATATATATAAAAGTCAAAGTATGTCTGTCTGTCTGTGTGCCACAAAGGTTGTTGCTATGTGAAGTGTTACTACATGAAGGAAGAGAAAGGAAAGGGGAAAAGGTAAGAGAGAGGGAACGAGCAAGAAGGGATGAAAGCAGGGGGACAGCGGTCCCTCCAGCATCAGGTCAACGCCAGGTAGATAAGCTAATCAATAAACCTCAATTTTCCTGATTTGATGTGCATGAGAACTGTGATTTAAGGAAATCATGATAGTAGCATTGAAGTTGCCTTGTGAGGAAAACAGTGATACTGGAGGAGATAAATCTATTTTAGCTTTTAGAACCATGGTATATTGCTGTGAAATTTGCAGATCAAAGTTTTGCATCTGAGTTGGCTTTTTAGATTACAGAATTCTTCCTCCAGACTCCAGACACACATTACACAGACTTCTGCTTGCTTTTAAATAGTACTAGTTGTGAAAACTGTATAGTAGTAATTTTTCTTCATCTGTTTTTTCTCCCCCTGGGTCCTTTTGTATTTTAACAGATTGTTTCTAGCAAGACACTGACTAGGCCCCTAGTGTTGAAAAATGGAAAACCTGCAGGAAAAGGAAAAATCACGGTATGAAAAATTAAGTTTTCTTTCGTTTGTGAATCACTGTGGATCTGATTTTAATTATGTCAATTCTTTTTTTAATCTGGTATCCAAAACAGTATGGATAGAGTCAAGAAAGAAATTAAATATTCTGAAACTCTGGGAATAATCCTACAATATATGTATTCTTTTGTAGAAATAAGCTCATTTTCTATACAATAGTGGCTTACTTTTTTGGTTAGAACTGAGGTGGCGCAATGGGTTAAACCCTTGTGCTGGCTGGACTGCTGACCTGATGGTTGTTTTGCTGACCTGAAGGTTGCCGGTTTGAATCCACAAGATGGGGTGAGCTCCCTTCTGTCAGATCTAGTTTGCGGGGGCATGAGAGAAGCCTCCCAGCAGAATTGGTAACACATCTGGGCATGCCCTGGGCAATGTCTCTGGAGGCAGCCAATTCTCTCACACCAGAAGTGACTCGCAGTACGTTCTCAAGTCGCTTCTGACATGATAAATACATAAACAAACTTTCTGGTGATTCTTCGGTCCTGTTTAACCTTTTCTGTATTATTCATGTATTGTAGCCTTTATTTTTGTTGAAGTTGTTTTTAAGTTACAGAATCGCAACAGATCCAAAATACACCCAAGCTTAGTTGTACTTATTCAAATGCTTGGAAAAGTGATTCATTAAATAGTTTGGTCACTCTTTAAAAATGGAGCACAATTTTTAAAAGCATTTAAACATGGCGTGCTGTTTAATATAGCAAGTGCAGAGATGGGAGAAGTCAAATTTTGTAGAACATAGCCAAATTTCCAATATATATATTTACGAACTATTATTGATGTTTTCATTTCATCTATACTAGGTGTCGCGTTCTAAATCCAATATGATGCTTGGTTTTTCTAGTCCTCTAGTTTATAGTCCGTCATGAAAATTGCTCATATAACTTCCCAACCACCAGGAACTGATTTTAGGCCACACCAGAAGATGCAGGAATAAAAAAAAATGCCCATTTCTGCCAGTTAAAGCAGATTCCACTGATACAGTGTCACCACTGGACACTTACTCTTTTAACAGCTGCCACTATCAATAGGTTCAGTCTGTTTCTGGGTGTAAGAAATATGTCAAACTTCCCATAAAATCATTAACCATTCTTCAAAGAGCACAAGATGTATTTCATTGGAAGGAAACATTTTATGCTGAATCTTTGCTATGCTTACTCAGATTACTGCTGAAGAAGTAAAGGACAATCGAGTGATCATATTTGAAATGGAAGCAAGAAAACTGGACAACAAGGTATGTGGAGGAAACATTATTTTGAAGTCAAATTTTTCTGCAGTTTTTCTGAAAAACTATCATCAATAATACTTTCTCATGAGATTTGGATCTCAATTTCCCTTATTCTGTGGTTTGGTATTGGTGTTTGTAACTTGAATTTATGAGCTCTATGCAACTAATTTTACTAAAGCAGTATTATCAGTTGGTTGGAGGAAGAAGCACTTTTCTTTTTCATTTTCCCATTGATCCTTAAATAAGCACTTTAAAAATTAAGCTGGTTTGCATTTGTTGAACATGCTGATCTCAGGTCAAAGCAATACAAGCAATACAAAGTTATGTTGTGGTCAGAAAAGCCCTCTATAATTGATCAAAGTGTGTGGTTGTTAGCTGCCTTGAGTCCCCTTGGGGAGAAAGGATGGCTATAAATAAAGTAAATAAATAAAAAGTAAAATAAAAGATAATTTTGGAGTAATAACCAATCTTTAATTGCAGGATTTTTTTGGAAAATCAGATCCTTATTTGGAGTTCCACAAACAGACATCAGAAGGAAACTGGGTGATGGTACACAGAACAGAAGTATGTTTCTTCTTACTCTTTTATGGGCTGGGGTGAATTACTTAGAAGTAATTTCATATCTGAGTAGGGTCTGCTCAATCTGCTTTGATTTTCAGAAGATGTACTACTTTAGAATGATAGCACATATGGAAGAAAATTGTAAAATGTTGAAATAAACACATCAGTCAGCACCTTTTCTAGAAAACATTAATGATAGCTATCTCAATTACTAAATAGCAGGTTTTATCAGAGATGCCTAATGAACCACAAAACCTTGATATATCCTAATATTTGTGTTCCTGTTTAGGTTATTAAAAATAATTTGAATCCTGTCTGGAGACCATTCAAAATTTCTCTCAATTCTTTATGTTATGGTGATATGGACAAAACAATAAAGGTAACGTATGATATGAAGAATATGTTAGTGGAAGGTATATATACTATTTAGAATGGGACTGAACAGGCTATTTTTCTTTAATTATTCAAAGCTTCAATTATGTTTAGAAGGTATTTGAGTTATGAATGTGTTGCTTCCATTGCATAATGTACAGTCCTATAAGTGGAAGAATGTGTTAAGAAAATAGCAACAAAAGCCCTGCTGCTATCAGAACTTTGCTGCCTGAAAGTAGTTTTGTACTGACATATGTCAGCTGTCTGATTGTTTTCAGTGGCGTATGTGCAGTTTTGCATATATTGCAGCATGCTTCTGCAAAAAATAACTATCCTACTAGAGGCAGAAGTTTGTAAAATGCGTGATCTCTGTGCTTTCAGAGCTTTCTTAAAGTTATATTTTTGCTTACTGGTCATAATTCAATGAATTTAGTTGGTGTCTCTGTGTTTATAACTCAGTCAATCAGGTGTAGAATTTTTTTCTTTTTAATTTAATAACCTATTTCTGTGCAGTTTTCCTTTTGGCCAATTTTATATTTAAATACTAGTCTGTTACCCATTAGCAGCAAGGAATTGCAAATTATTGGAGGAGAAAAAGGTAATCTGTACCTCCTTTGCAGTCATCTTGTAAGTCAAGCAAGTTGCCACAGAAGGGAAACCCCCTCTTCCTTCAGTAGCACAGAAATTCAGTGGGCCACTGTGGAAAGTCAGAAATCTCTTGACTGCCAGCCCTCAGCAGATGAGTGTAGTTTATCATTTATCCATGGAATAGTGTTTCTGTAGTTATGCACAGTACTGCTGCTACTTTAATTAACCCCAAATGAATTAGCCCCCCAGAATCCAATTCCTCAACTAATGTTGAAATGCACCCAGTTGCAGCAGTGTGAGGAAAAACAATCCTAGAAGTTGTTTGCCCAGAACATACTTTTTGTAGCCTTACAAAGATGAGAAGCGATTTGCCACCCTAACTTGTCTCGCACATCTTGACGTGCTTGGGTTCATGTTGGATGGGGGTCCTTCAGCTCATTAACATGTATTTTGTCATACCTTCCTAGCTTTAGGTTCAGTTTACATAACTGTACTTTTGCCATCTAATATTTCTTCTATTCTAATCTTTCCAGTTGTATGTCATTTCTTTAATAAGAAAAAAAAGAACGATAATAATACTTTCCTGTGTAGTGATTACATTTTGCATTTTAATTCTTTAGCAAAATACTTCTCTCGAAGTAGTTATTTTCATGATGCAAAATTCAATGTTCCAATAAACCATAATTTGTTTCTTACCTCATTTGGAGCAAAATGAAACTTTATGAATATGTAAGTCAGTGCCCTAGTATTCAGCATCTGGCCGCCATAATTGCATCCTCCAGAGAAAATGGGCAAAGTACAAGAGGGCCTTATTACTTTTTGAGAAGCAGTTAGAACTAAACTGTTGCTATAATGAATAAAGAGAAAAGCTGGTATGCTATAATGACCCACTAAATAATGCTTTAATACCTTATGCACACAGTATCTTATGTATCTGGGTATTTCGCTGTAGTAAGTAGAATCATTTTCTAACTTTATCTGACTCAGAGTTGGTTTCATGTATTGAAAGGGTTGTTTATGTAGTCATCCATAAACACACAAACAACTCTCTTTGATATTTCATGGTGTTATTTCTGAAGTGTTTTTATGTGTGTTGAAATGAATTGTTAGAGGCTTTTCTTATGGGGGAGGTAGGCATGTATTTCTTATGTTTCCTCATACACATGGTAAACATGTGTAACATACTTCTCAACATGGAAGAAGAAGACTATAACATTAATGTTGCTATTTTGGTTGAACATCTGTCACAATTTTCTTAATAAATGGATTTTTGCATTCATTGTCACACAAAATTGGAAAGCTACTTAAAAGTTAATATGAGGAATACGTTTTTGACCACCTTGTACCTTGTCTTCCTGATTTCCGCTGTATTCTAATTCTGTGTTTGCATGTTCATATCAGTTGAGAGAGCATGTGCATGTGTGTTAATAACTTTGGGGAGCTTAGGCTGCAATGCTGTGCCTACATCCTAGGAGTAAACCTCATTAAAATACAATATTTATTTCTCAATAAACTTGTATTGGATTACACTACTAGTTCATGAAAATGGGGGTAGCAGTGGACCTAAGGAACATCATACATTTTAAAAAAGTAAGGCTTGATCTCAAGCAACTTTAAATTAGATCCGAATGGATCTTTGAAATTAAATAGAGGGTATTTCAAACATGTAACTTGTATGTCTTATTGGAGTCATAAAATAGTAATTGATGTTCTTCATTTTCAGTATAGGACCTTACAAAAGCCACCGTATGGGCTCTGTAGGTCAATTCTGCTGCATTTTAGTCTCGCCTTCCTAATTTTAGAGTTGTGAGTGGTAGAGCCTTCAAATGTAGGATTTCTTATTTCTTGCTCTGTTATGTTTCTTGATAGTTGTGCTGTATCCCTAATACACAGTAATGACCAATACCTTCTTTTTAGGTGGAGTGCTATGATTATGATAGTGATGGATCACATGATCTCATAGGGACCTTTCGAGCCACTATGTCACAGCTGAAGGAAGCATCTCGGCAATCACCTGTAAGTCCATGTACCATTTCCCACCTTATTAAAGGAATGCAATGGTGTTCAGAGCTTTTCTTCATCGCCTGCACTCATAGGAACTAATATAGTAATAATGAGAAATGATGGAGTAAATCCAATAGCATAACAATCTGGAGTAAACTTTTGGAAATCAATGGGATCACAGTTAGCTGTTACTAATAAGTTACATTATTATTATGATACAATATTAATTATTTATATCCTGCTTTATCTCTCCCGAAGGAGACTCAAAGCGGCTTAACATAAAAGCATTACCATACAGCTTAAGATATACAAATATGCAAACATTAAAACACAGTATTAAAAACATTCACAGTTAAAATCCATTAAAACATATTCAGAGTTATTTTATTTCATTTGTAGATTTATTAATTTATTTGCAGTATTTGTATACCACCTTTCTCAACCCCTAAGGGGACTCAGGGCGGTTCACAGCGTTGGCAACAATTAATAAACTTGCAGTTATTAAAAAGGTGTGTTGGAGCACAGATATAATTCGTCATATTAAGAAACAGTATCCACATTTTAAATGATCATAAAAATAATTGAAAATAAAATTTTGTGCAGATCCCCCTCCCAGCTCAAACCTGTACAGATAGTGTATTGCAAACTAAAAAGTGATGGAAAATAGCAATGGTGTCTTCAGTACCTATGAGATGCAATTCAGAAATTTCATACTCATGAAAATTCTTGTGGTTGAATTATATCTGATTCCTGGCCCCATTAGCTCCAAAGCAGGAAAGGTAGAAAATAATATGCAAAATGTCTTCTGACTATCTTCTTTTCAGCAGATTTCTGATCTGGAATGCTTAGTCTCACAGTCTAAATACATGTCCCATTATATTCTATTTCTGCAGGTTGAATTTGAATGCATCAATGAAAAGAAGAAGCAAAAAAAGAAAAGCTACAAGAATTCGGGCATTATCAGCGTGAAACACTGTGAAGTTAGTATCCTTAAATGTCGTATTCTTAATTAAGTGTTCTCTTTATTTTAGAGTTGGCTTTTTATAATCCTAGTTAATGCAATTTGCAAGAATTTTCTGCACGCGAATTCCATCATTTTCAGTCATGCGAACACTATTTAAGCCAACATATGTTTATAAAAGCTTAGTATGACTATAACACAAAGATTGAGAAAGTGTGGTCTCTGTGTTGCAAATGCCCTTTGCCCCCCCAACCCAATTGGGGAAGGGTTGTGCTTTTAAAACAGAATGTCTCCTTGCACACTAGGGGCTGTGTGGTGGGGCCCACAGTTTTAGGCATGATGGGGCATGATCTATTTTAGGCCTGTGTCATAAAGTTGACTTTTGAAAACTGTAAATGAGGCACTTCCATGAGACTCTGTCATCAACGGTCCTGTTCAAGTCTTGCAAACTAAGAGAGGCCTTTCTAAAAGAAAGAAGTAAACAGGTACTCATTTTAAGCAAATGAAATAAAATAAAAAATAAAAGTAAGACTAAATTCACAAGTTTGGCTCTCAGCACTCCAGCTAAGTGCATGTACAAACCATAGATGTTGACACTGGTTTTTAGGGAAGAAATGATTAATTGCTTTATGACCTAGAGTATATCACTGAGTATTTGAATATTTTTTTCTGCAGATTATTATGGAATGTACTTTCCTCGATTACATCATGGGAGGCTGCCAGCTGAATTTTACTGTAAGTAAGCTATAGATCAGGGATTCTCAGGTTATTATAAGTGGGTGAAGAGATCCTATCCAGCTGAGAAGAAGCAGTGCAGAGAGCCTAGTTAAGGTTCTCATAGATGAGGGTCAAGATCCTACATTTGGTCAGTGTATATAGTGCAAATCTCTATTTGTGGAGTTGTACATTGATTAGGAGGTACAGCACTGCAACTAAATGCACACCCAAATGTCAGATCAGTTGCACATCCCATGCACATCTGTATTTTCAGTCACATCTGTGTACAACCCGACTTCTGAATTCTGATTTTTCCCATTGGAAAAGAAAGCCCAACCATTTTCATAGGAAACGGCATGCATGTGTAAGACACTGACAGGATTCCATCCATAAATGGAACTGGTATCCTAGAAACTACCTAAGAAATCATGACATAAATTTTATGTTGTCATTTCTGACTTATGGCAAGATGAGGGGAAACCTTAGCAAAATTTGTTTGGGAAGGTGGGTTCTATTGTCTTTCCCTGAGGCCACCCAGTAGGTTTCTATAGCCTCACAAAAATTCAAATTGCCCTTCAGTTCTCAAAGCATTACACAAAACTGGCTCTCTGGCAGCAGAAATAGGTAATTGTTCTTCCTTCCAAGGAACAGGAAACTTTCACCAAAGAAGATCTCTAGTTCTGCTCACATTGATTTGTACAGCAACCTTTGCTTGGAATAAATTTATTGTAAAATATCATAAGCTCTAATGGAAAGGAAAAGTAGGTCTGGGGGTAAGAGTAAGCAAATCTTAGATTTTCCCCTCTATTTTTCACAAGAAGAAATCAAGGAAGCATACATGGTTGTTCGTCTTTCACATTTTATCCTTGCAACCAGCCCTGTAAGATTAGCATCACTGAAATTGATTCTTGAAGACTTCTCCTAATATTAATATGGCTTGACAGAAGATGTCTTGGAACAGAGAAGAGTTCTCAATTTGTAGTTTTCACACTGTTCACACATGACTTGATTTTTAAGCAGTAGCACTACATGTTCATTTTTTTAAAGGAAGAAATACTTCACACTTCTTCCATCTTTTAACTGCACAAAGTCTTCCCTTTTGATTTAGGCTCTACTATGTGTGAGGAGAAAAGTAATTTTCACACCAGTAATGTATCTGTCTTGACAGGTTGGCATTGACTTTACCGGCTCTAATGGAGATCCCCGCTCTCCAGACTCCCTGCATCACATCAGTCCTAATGGAGTGAATGAATACTTGACTGCCATTTGGTCTGTGGGGATGGTCATCCAGGACTATGATGCGTAAGATTCTCTGTGTTTGGCCATAGATCAAAATAGTAAAATCAAATGATGAGAACTATGACATAATAGTGAAGACATTTTGGGAAACATGTTTTAAAAGATTTCTTTTGGCTTATTTCCCCTTCTTTTTCCATCCGAATAATAATAATAATAATAATAATAATAATAATAATAATAATAATAATAATGATAATGATGATGATGATGATAATTTATCTATATTCTGCCCCACTCCCCAAGGGGACTCAGGGTGGCTTACAACAAGAAGAAACAATGTACATAATATTAGTCACACAGTCCAAAAAAAGTTAAAGCAAAACAAACAAATCAAAGAAAGACATATCACAATATATAGAAGGAAAATCCCAATAAACATGCGAGTTAATTATAATTCTTAAATACCATCCATATAAATATAAAACTTTACAACAATTAAGACATATAGTGCCACCAAAAACATCATTGAACCTGCTCTTGTTGGTAAAAGCAATAAAACCCAATTAAGTTAATCTCATTAAAAATCTCCATCTCTTCGTTTACAATTAGCTATTTTCAAATGCCTGCTTCCAAAGTCAAGTTTTCAACTGTTTCCTAAAGCTCATTAAAGTGGGGACTATCCTTCCCTCCCTTCCTATTTTGAGGTAGAAAATTAGAATGTTTATTTGTGGCCAGTATCATGGCAACCTTTAAATATGTATCTGGTACCAATTTATGCCACCGATGTATCCTTGTGATTTTGTTTTTCCGTTTAATTAATGGATGTGGTATTAATTAAAGACTTTGGCAATACATTAAGAATTGCATTGGATTTAGTATTGTATTTCTGGACTCATTCTGTAATTGTGTGGGCATCAGCAAACTACATACATTTGCTCCTTTCCAGAAGTCTTTCTGCATGTGAATCCTGAGCTGTCTGGGAAATTTCATGTGCAATATAGTGCAGTAGACATGTTTTCATTCTTTATTCTGTCAGACATGAGATTTATGAAAAGTTTCTTTCTATTTATATTAAAAAGGTAAAATAATAGACATTGGCTATTTGCAACAGAGAGCATAAGCATGGATTCAGTCTCCTGTTCTGCCAAATATCTGAGTAATAGGGGTGTAGGTCTTTCTAAAGGACATGCTAACTCCCACACATTCTTCATTAGATTGGGTTAATTACATTGTAACCTTCAATTACATCGCCAACTGGATACTACTTTGACCTTTAGGTAGTGTCCATTTTTCTTTGCTGGCTTGAGATTTAAAAGGTGGCAACTACATCTTCTCTTTCTGATTTCCCTTCAGACCGTTTACTACCTACCTACTCCAGAGTATAAGAAGGAATGGTTGAAAAATGGCTAAGGCATTGTGGGAGAAAAGGAGATGAGCAGAAGCTTTCTTTTTCTGAACCATGTAATTCTGTAAATGTATACCCACAGATGAGCTCACTGAGTGCAATGAGAATTCCTCCAAGTAACCTTCTATAGGATTGTAGAATCTGTTAACTTATATTAGAATCTAAACTATTGTTGACTTATGACATTATTGCTAGATGAAAATAAACAATTGAAGGTATTGTTCATAAAACTATCCTTTAATAATGGCAGTAGGAATTGATTAACATTTTTGGTTTATGGTGGCTGTGAAAATGTGAGCTTGCTTGCAATCAGTTTCTCTAAATTGCTTTTACAGGGATAAAATGTTCCCAGCATTTGGATTTGGTGCGCAAATCCCTCCATCATGGCAGGTAAACTATTTTACATGTTTGAGAAGATGTAAAATGCATAGTAACATGGTTTGAAAGAAAGCTTGATTATTAGGGATGAAACTATAAAAACAACTGCATATTCTCCATGTATTTATAGGTGTCGCATGAGTTCCCATTAAACTTTAACCCATCGAACCCATTCTGCAGTGGTAAGTTTCAAATGTTTAAGATAAAAATATTTAAGGATGCCCTGGCATTTTTAAGATTACTGATAGCTAAGGTGGCAGCTTCTTAAGTAGTTGATTGTGGGTTTTTAGGCTGACACCATTAATACTACAAAAAATTTGGGGAAGGATGGGAGAGGCTAGTATAGATTAAGTACAGAAATAACACAGTCTCAAAATCATATACATCTTATTAACTCGGGAAGGTTTAAAAGCAAAAAGCTGAAAATATAGGAAGAAAAATGTGTAAAAAAATTCTAAAATTTATTGTTGTATTAAATATGATAAAAAAAGACTTATCAGGATTTTAGTATGTTATGATTTCTTCTTGTGATTTCCTTTGTTTGTGCTCTTAACTCTTGTTTGTACTATTAAAAATTAGTAATACAAAAGGTAATTGAAATAGGAGCCTGTGGTGCTTGGTCCTTTCTCCTGCAAATACTTTATGGTGTCAGTGAATAACTTCCCCCAAATATCCTCATGTTTTAGGGCATCGCTGTCAGCCTGAAAGAAACTATTTCAATTTCAGATATTACAGGTTTTGCTTCAAACACCATATAGTCATAGTTGCCATTTGCTGTGTGTTGCCAACAAAATTACTTTCTGAAACTCCTTGACATATTCTCCCACTTACTCACACTATGTTCAATGAACTAGTCTAGTTACCTTTACAATCCCGATGCTTGCTGTAGGTCTCATTCTTTCTTTACAAGCACAACCCATTTAAATATAATGGTATATTGAAAGCTAATTCCATAAAGAGAGGTCCATAAAACCATTAGAAAGATGAAAATATGAAAAAGTAGTGAAATGTGTGCATTTATTCTTCTCAGGAATCCAAGGTATTGTGGATGCATACCGGGTCTGTCTTCCTCAAGTAAGATTGTATGGGCCTACCAACTTTTCACCAATAATAAATCATGTGGCAAGATTTGCTGCAGCTGCTACTCAGCAAAAGACAGCATCAGTAAGTATTGCAGTGTTACTATTAGGCTACACTGAAACAGAAAGTTGCATGAAACAAGAGTTATCTGCCTTACCAGCAGTGATTGACACTGGAGACTGTTTCTATCTTCCCTGGATTGTCTATAAACCCAGTCACAATCTTTCATGTTCCATTTCACATTTGTGAGAAAGAAATTATATTTTTAGCGCAATGGTAGTAGGTTTGGAAACAAAAAAGGAAATGAGTTCCACATGCTAATACATGCTAAATTATTTATTCCTTTTCAAAGCCTGAAAATTTGACTTATATGAGACAGGCCTTCTTCAGGGATTAAAAACAAAACATAAATATGAATTTATTACAAAGACAGGCAGTCCCCAAGTTACAAACATTCAACTTACAAATGGTTCATAGTTAAGAACGGGGGTGAGACAACAGCAAGTGAGACAATAGGGGTGAGACAACAGCGATCTACCCCTCAAAAGGGAAATTCACTCTTGAAAGGATTATTATGGAAAAAGGTGTCTCCACTGAAGCTTATTCATCAATCCTTATCTGCACAATAAGCCATTTTTTTCAAAATCCAATTATCACAGGGACAGAAAGTGAGGTGAAATCTGACAATCAAACACCACAGGGGTCTTAATCCTTCCCTATGCTGTTCAATGCTTTTTTTTAAAAAAATGGCTGGAATTACACTTAAAATGTATTAACAAATTCATCTTAAGAACAAGTCTACAAAACCTATCTTGTTCGTAACTTGGGGACTGCGTGTATTATAAAAAACAGGATGACATTAAATTAAGCATATCTTATTAATGCTGTGTGTATAATTTTGACATGAAATGATAATGTGATCTTGTGCATATTTATGGGATATTGTTAATGTCCTGCCTTTTAAAATAACTTTTAATGTTTGGCCTTTCGTCATACAGACCAAAACATGTTGAGGTTTTTAAAGGAATATACAACTGACCATCTAAGGCAGAGTTTTCCAAAAATTTTATGCTGATGACACGTTTTTTAGCCATACATCTTTTCTCAACATGGTAATTCAGTTTAACTAGCAAACTGGAATTTAAACCAACCCCTTATAAGATTTTTGTTATATTGGTATAATACAATAAGTTTCATATAATCTTTACTGAATAAACAAGTTTGGAAATTTCTCTGTACACTCCTTATGTATTACACTTGATTTTTGTGTAGTTTCTTCTATAGCTGCTTCATGTGGTTCATCTCAAACACTGTTGTTAATAGATTTTATTTTCTTAAATATAAATGTACCAATTTTTGTGGTAATTACTGCACCTCAATCAACTTTAAAGATCAGATTGTGAATATGCAGAGATTTCTTAGGAGTAAAAAATTCAAGACTTGTAAACATTATTTTTTGGAAGAGGGGGATTTGAGATGTGGACATTCCTTTAGTTCTTTTCTCCCACCCCCGAACTGGATTCTTGTGGGTCACTTCTGCTTAGCTGGGTCTTAAAGAGCTCAGGGCCCTTTAAATCTTAGCATGATGCCACAGTAATAAGGCCTGTCCCCTGCACTTTTCAACGTGGAGATTGATAAGAAGCACAAGTTGTGCCTGGCTACTTGGGCCATTTAATTTTTTTAGATCCATATAAACACAACCTTATTTTTTACTTTATTAAATTGTCTCACCATGGCAGCTTCAGTTCCAGGGTAGTTTTGAAAGCAAGCAATGACTGATGTTTCGACATTTCTATCCTCAAATAATTGGTTTAAGTTTTATGGTTCTCTTGATGAATATGTGATTCAAAAGAAAGGAAGCCATTTTCTTCTTCACCCTTATCAGCTGGCAGGCCATCTCCTGTTATAATCTGAGTGTGCTTTTCTCCTCTTGTTCTTGTGCATTTGTTCAACAGAGTTATTTTGTGCTCCTCATTATCACTGATGGTGTGATAACAGACCTAGATGAGACCCGATCTGCAATTGTTAATGCTGCCAAACTTCCCATGTCCATTATTATTGTTGGTGTTGGAGGAGCTGATTTCAGTGCCATGGAGTTCCTTGACAGTGACAACGGAGCTTTGAGATCACTGTCAGGAGAGGCTGCTATCAGAGACATTGTCCAGTTTGTACCATTTCGGCAGTTTCAGAATGTAAGTATTATTTCTTCTGTTATGCTTAATTTGGGTCCCGTATTCAGCCATCTTTCTTTTTAAGTCTGAATGAATCAGAATGGCAGTTCTAATGTGAGATTTAGTGACACTGGCACATTTGCTTTCTAAACATACCATATTGACTCAAGTATAAGCTGATCCAAATATAAGCGGAGGCACCTAATTTTACCACAAATAACTGGGAAAACACATTGATTTGATTATAAGCCAAGGATGGGAAATGCAGTAGCTAATGGTAAATTTCAAAATAAAAATAGATAACAATAAAATTACATGAATTAAGGCATCAGTAAGTTAAATGTTTTTGAATATTTACATGAAACTGTAATTTAAGATAAAAGATTGTCCAACTCTGATTAAACCATTATTCTAACCTCCTTCAATGTAAATGTGCTTATGTATCCTTCCGATCATAATAAGAGTAAAATAATAAATGTAATAATAACATTAATAAATAAAGTAAAATAATACATTTAAAATAATGATAGTAATAATAGTAATAATAATAACAACAACAACTACAACAGAATAAGATAATAAATAGCCTTGGCTATAAACTGAGGGGGGGGGTGTTAGCCTAAAAAATAGCTGAAAAATTTGGCTTATACTCGAATATATGCGGTAATAGAACTTTTGGCAATAATCCACTTTTTCTCTCCACAAAGGAGACTCAAATGTGCAAATATATTCTCTGCCAATTCTAATATATACCCTCATGAAAATGCATCTTGGAACAATCTTCCTAATAAGCTGGAAAATTATTGTCTCTATTATTATTATTATTATTATTATTAATATTATTATTATTGATGCCCCATTTTTCTCTCTAAAAAAGAGATTCAAAGCTGCTTACAGTAAAACCAACACAATACAATGTAAAGTTTAAAAAATACAAACATTAGAATAGAATTAAATATTAGCAATATTAGAAATAGTTTAAACTCGGCATGGGCAAACTTTGGCCCTCCAGGTGTTTTGGACTTCAGCTCCTAACAGGCTGTTAGAAGTGGTGGGAGTTGAACAAAACACCTTGAGGGCCAAAGTTTGTCCATGTCTGGTTTAAACCCTGAAAACCCATTACCACCACATATACCCCTCCCCCCCGAGTTTATCTTTAAAACTTCCTTTTATAAAAGCCCCCTGAACAAAAAGGTTGTTAGCCTGTTGCTAGAAGAATAGCAGGGAGGGGTTATTCTCACTTCCCTGGAAAGAAGGGAGTTGCATACCCGTCTGCGTTCATATTTTGGTTTCTGTCTCTTGCCTTTTTTAATAAGGCTCCGAAGGAAGCTCTGGCTCAGAGTGTCCTGGCAGAAGTGCCACAGCAAGTGGTCAACTATTTCAGCACGTTCAAGCTCCAGCCACCAAAGAAGCCTGAAGCAAAGCCAGAGGGGAGCTGAACCGGAGATACCAATTTCATTTGCCCAGGTGGAGAATCACTGCACCACCTGCCTTCTTCATTTGTCGCATAAGTATATAAAGAGTTAAGATTGTCTTTTTCATTTTTGTTTTCTGTTGCCAAAGATGTCATTTTGTTTAACAATCCATTGCAAATTGGAAAAAAAAAAACAACTCAGGCATACTATGCAACTTTTGGGGAGAGCAGGGCAGCTAACCACATCAAGTCTTTTGATTCCTTCACTATGAGGCCTGGAACAAAGTACAGTAACTGTCTCATAGTGATAAGTTGCAAAACAAACATAGGGTTTTGGTGCCTTAGAAGTAGTTGTTGCTGCAATTTGACTTCTTACGTGAGAGGACTTTGGCTTGCAGAAATGTAGCATAAAGCATGTAATCACTTGTGAAGAAGCATTAAGGCCATGGAAGGGCACAACCTATCTTAGAAGCATCTCTTTTCATTTTGCCTCAGTGCCTTGTGTATTAGCCTTCTGTGCTGTATCTGAATACGTACACCTTGAGACATTTAATAATATAAAAATAATATAAAAAGTATACTATGAAACTGAAGTATTTAAAGACTTGCAGGTTATATTATTTTAAATCAAGGTAGGCCATTTACATATCTTCTAAGATTGCCATCAGTCAGTACCTCTCTATTCTGCATACAGAGGATATATGTGTCATAAGGATTTTATTGTGTCATTTTACAAAACCGGTTAACTTTTGAAGACTATAACTGTAGAGGGACAGCATGTGATTTATCATGTATTAGCAAGCCTTGCATCTGCCGATAAGGAGTAGTTCTCTTCATGGAGATTATTTCCCCGAAGTTTTATTTTGTATACAATGGAATATTTGACCTAAACTTAGTTATTAGACTCAACGGATTGAATCAGTTGGAACTTGAAATTTGCATTGATTCAATGGGAATGCTCTAGTTGGGGCTAATAATTGGATTTAGGCTTCTAACAAGTATTTATAATACCTTTGTGTAGATAGTTCCAGGATGCTTCTGTCATCTTCATTCTGCTGGTCTGTAACTGGCCCAGAATGATCACAGTCACCTGTTTTTCACAAAACATGTTAAATTATTGTTATCCAGTGTCCATTGTGCCTTTGGGAATCACTTTTAGTTTACTAACTGCAAGGAATTTGTTCAGAATTCACCTGGCTTCAGCATCTCTTCATCTCAAAACTGCATTGATCACGAGGCTGACAATGGAAACAGTTTCTTGTACTTTATTAGAGTATTGTCAATATGCCAGATATGTATATAGTATTTCTGTTTTTCTTTATATATAGGTTAATCCGAATTATTTGAAAATTATTGTGAAATGTATAATGTGATAGATTATAAAGATGATTTCCGAATAGCCAAAAACTAAAGCCTAAAAACAAGATACAGAGACTAGCATTCATGTGTTCTCTTCGAACACGGAAATTAGCTGTCTTAAACCTTTGTACTTTTTCTGTTATCACAAATTCAGTTCATCTGAAGCTTAAACGGGTGTCCTTAGGTTGGTAATTTTGAATGTGTCCAATCGATGGCAAATTTACCTTCTTAACTGAAGATGATCTAGCTCGAAATAGCCTTTTATTGCTGTAATCGAAAATGTTGTGCCCACTAGAAATATTTCGCACTGAAATGTCTCTTCATTGATGTCTTTGTAACAACCTATTGGGGACTTTCTGACCCTGTTACATAAATGTCACTGACTTTTCGGTAACTGTCTTAATTAAGATCATGATTCCTAAGCTAATGCCAAAACAAAACATATCCCTGTAATGTGGATGTTTGTTGTGATGGCAGATGTTTTGTATTACTGAATTATGGGCAGCCTTTTCAAAATTTGCTTGCAATCAAAATGCTTGGGAATTAGAATATAATCATCAATCGTTTTTTTAAAAAAAAATCCAACAAGGTATATAAATGCTTCCATATTTGTAGTGCTATTTAACAATAAAGTCTGAAATTATCCATCTTCACTTTTGTTGCCTCATACATTTGTTTTCAGACAGCTGAGGGAAAGCATTTTCTATGGGCGCTTTTTCAACATCTGTTCTTTGCATTTGGTTATCTCCCATTAGACCATTCTGTAAATGTGCTGTAGCTCAACTCCTGCGGAGTTTATAATTGACTGCCAAACCAACTGCAGTTTTCCCCTTTGAACATCTTTGAATAAAAGATATTCGCAAGAATAAAACCCCTTATTTATTAATAGAATATTTACTTAAATTACACTAAATATAAGTTGAACATCCCTTATCCAGAATTCTAGAATATGAAAAATACTCCATAATTATCCACATAGGTGGATGAGATAGTGGCTCTTTTGCTTTCTGATGGTTCAATGTACATAAAGTTTATTTCAGGTATAAAATTATTAAAAATGTATGAAATTTCTTCTTGCTACTGTATATGGTTTATATAAAACCTAAATGAATTTTGTGTTTAGACTTGGGTCCCTTCTCACAAGATATCTAGCATGTACTTATATGCAAATACATGTATTCCAAAATCTAAAACACTTTTGGTCCCAGGTATTTTGGATAAGAGTTACTCCACCTGTGTTGTTTCTTCCTCTCTGTTTTCTATATGCTGTGTCCACATGAGTTTTCTGACAACACATTCGTGCCACCTTGTGGTAGAATTTGGTTATTGGTATTTTTGTAGTAAAAAGATTTTTTTATATATATGAAACGTATGCTGTTCTTTGTTTGGCCACAAATTTTATTTCAGATGTGGTGCCATCTTAGTAGTATATAATGCAAAGTATTTAATTCATCACGAACCTCTTTTGTTAGTTTTCTGGGTGAATTATAAATTACCACTCCACATCAAATTTCATCCAGTTGCATTCAGTGGGTACAAATGTGGTATTAAGTCTCTGATACAATAGGGGAAAAATCCAGTTTCCACATCCCAAATAACTGAGAGAAACCGATCTACCGTATCAAATTGTTGTAATTCTATGCCCGTCTTTGCTTTTCTGGCATTGAGTACTTAATGTCTGTGTGATAGTGGAAGAGATAAGAAATACGCTTTCCTTTTACTAATGTTTATTCTGTTCTTATTGGATTTTGTTTGTTTTTCAAACAGAAAACCAAACACATTCCTTATAGTTGAGTATTTTTAGCTGCATATGTAAGGAAAAAATAAAATTTAAGAAAGTAAATGTGAGATATAATTTCCCAAATAAGCTGTACTTTTAATATGGTGGTCTGTTCTTCTGTTTGAGTTCCTGATTTTGAGGGGCCCCGATTGGTGGCTGCTTTACAGGAAAGGTTGACATTTATGTGGAAATATCATTTTGAAAAGACATTAGGACAGTAGCACTCTTTATGGCCTGAGCAAAAACACTTTTCCCCAAATAATTGAGTAGGTCTCTTTGAAGCATTAAACTATAACAGTGGTTCTCAACCTTCCTAATGCCGTGACCCCTTAATACAGTTCCTCGTGTTGTGGTGACCCCCAACCATAACATTATTTTCATTGCTACTTCATAACTGTCATTTTGCTCCGGTTATGAATCGTCATGTAAATATCTGATATGCAAGTTGTATTTTCATTCACTGGACCAATTTTGGTACAAATACCCAATGGGCCCAAATTTGAATACTGGTGGGGTTTGGGGGGAGATTGATTTTGTCATTTGGGAGTTGTAGTTGCTGGGATTTAAAGTTCACCTACAATCAAAGATCATTCTGAATTCCACCAACGATTGAATTGAACCAAACTTGGCACACAGAACTTCAATGACCAACAGAAAAATACTGGAAGGGTTTGGTGGGCATTGACCTTGAGTTTGGGAGTTGTAGTTCGCCTACATCCAGAGAGCACTGTGGGCTCAAACAATGATGGATCTGGACCAAACTTTGCACGGATACTCAATATGCCCAAATGTGAACACTGATGGGGTTTGGGAAAAATAGACTTTGACATTTGGGAGTTGTAGATACTGGGATTTATAGTTCACCTACAATCAAGGAGCATTCTAAACCCCACCAATGATAGAATTGGGCCAAACTTCACACACAAAACCCCCATGATCAACAGAAAATACGGTGTCTTCTGATGGTCTTTGGCGACCCCTCTGACACCCCTTCGCGACCCCCTCAGGGGTCCCGACCCCTAGGTTGAGAAACACTGAACTATAAGATCCTGATGTATATGAGGCAAAAAAGTTTGTTCACTAATATGCCTAGCAATTACTTTTCTCCAAACATTAGACCGGCTGCAATTTAATACTCAGGTGCCCCCAATAAGAATACGAAGTATCAGAACTAACTTATGTCCTGTTTCTGAGATTTTCTCCCTAATCTGATGACATTAAATAAAAAAAGGCTCATAAAGCAGCAGATTGTATTTAAAACTGCTCAGTTAGGCAGGAATTGACCTTTCCGCTGACAGTAGTTTATTAGCCGAGGAAAGGAAGAAATGGGACTTACTCTGGAGATTTGCTGCTCTAAATGAAATAGTGGAACATGATGGAAGGCCATAAGGAAAAAGACTCTAGCAGGAAAAAAACTATTAAAAACTCCTTGCCATCTAGTTGGTTTTCAAGAGCTATACTTCCTGAATCAGAATTCCCTCTGTGACCCAGGGAAGATTTAAGGAGCTGTGAATGAGCTTTTCCCATTCTGTTGATAATCAGAAGGGTGGCACAGAAGGCTGTGTGATGTGATATGTGTGTCTGAGGTGGAATAGTCAAAAGAAAACTGATTACAAAAATCAAGCATGGGTTTCTCAGAAAGCAATTATTGTACCCATCTTCAAAATGGTTAGAAAAAAGGACTGAAGCAGCCAGTCAGCTTGATGTCAGTACTGTATCAGGAAGAATTCTGAAACACAGCAGTAAACATTCTGTGGACATTCAGAAAAAAAATGCTGTGATCACTAAGAGCCACCCAATATTTCTCAAAACCCAATTATGCAAGTCTAAATTTCTTTTATTTCTCAAGGTGACAAGTTTGATAGTTTGGGGAAATGATAGAGGGACAGTATATTCTTGATTTCAATTAAGCTCTTGACACAGTCTTCTGTGATATTCTTAAATGAAAATGGGTTAATACAGTGCTGTTGCTAGCTGGAATTATAACTGATTGTTGGAACAAACTAAAAAATGAATTTATTTATTTATTTATTTATTTGATTCATTTGTAGACCGCCGCTCTCAGCCCTAGGGCGACTCGCGGCGGTGCACAGCATATAAAAACAGTTTACAAAAGTACAGCAAAAATCAACATAACAAATTACACACTAATCTAATCCAAAATTACACTAACTAATCCGCATCGTCACAATATAGAATCGTAGCCAATCTCATAGTCCATGTCCGTTCCAATTGTCATTACCAGCTCATTACCAGCTAATGTAGCACTCAATTAAATGCCTTCTCAAAGAGCCAGGTCTTTAGGCTCTTACGGAAGGCCATAAGGGAAGGCGCCTGTCTGATGTCAACAGAGGGTGTTGGTTGATTTTTCTTCTGGAGACAGGTTCCTAGTAGGATGGCACAGGGTTCTGTCCTGGGCCCCCACTGTTCCACATCTTAATATATAAAAAGCTTCTTTGTGTCATTAGTAGGCTAAAAACAAACTATGGGGCCAACAGACGTCTCATACTGCAAGGTATGACCAACAATTAAAAAAAAAACCCCAAAACCGAGAAAATAGCTTTAAAATTCTTAAAAAATAAAAAATACCGTACCACGCATGCGCAAAACCTATTCCCGCCCCCTCCTGTGCAAGAGGGGGGAAATGAACAGCCATCTGTAGCAAAGCAGCTGGCCGCCCCTGCTTCGGGAGCCAAGTTGAGAAGCCAGAACAGCTCGGCAAAGCTGCACTAAAAAGCAGCCTTTAGAGCCTCCTCAGAGAGAGGGGGGAGGGAGAAGGACGTATGGAGGGACAGAAGAAGCAAAGAAGCAAGCAAGCCTTTTCCATCTGTCAGGCAAGGAAGGCGAGAGGGAAAGGGAAGGGAGGGAGGGAGGAGGAGCCACACCAGGAGGAGGCTGCACATGCCTCGAAAGAGACACAGGGTTCAGTAACAAATCCCATACTCCAGGCCTGGACCTACTTGGGCCCTCCAGGCATTTTGGACTTTTACTCCTATAATTCCTATCAGCCATGCTGTTCTGGCTGTTAGGAATTGTGGAAACTGAAGTCCAAAATGACTGGAGGGCCCAAGTAGGCCCAGGCCTGCACACATATACAAACACATAAATTCCTTCTTGTTATTGGGTTCACAGACTCTTCAGTGCCTTTCCCAAGGTTATGAAGTAGTGGTGAGGCCTCTTTCCCTAAAGGCATATTCTGCTAATTGGAACTAAGAAGAACTGCTGCAAAGGGAAGTGTTTACCATTTTTTAAAATTTTTCTAAGTATATTTCTGAAGATTTTGTGTGGCCCAGAGACATCTAGGGAAATAAAGAGGTACAATTACGTAGAAATTAAAGCATCAGTCAGCTATTTTGTGATTAATTTTTATTTACTTATAAAGAACATACCACATTCTCCACTTAAAGAGTAGTTTACAAATAAGATACCCTGGTAGTTTTCTAGTCAAGCAGCTCAAAAGAATTACTGGCAATCATTGATAAAATGCATATAATTAAAACATCAAAATGCATCACTAGAAGAAAGAAAAGCATTCAGCTTGATTAAAAGCCCCTTTCACAGCAAAACAGCATACTTTCCCTGTATAGGGACTAAATCTGTTCACATCTAGCATTACAGATTTACCCTTTGCCGATCATTCTATGGGCAGATTTAAATTGCAGTCCTATGTGCAATTAGTTATCTCTGAGTAAGCTATGTTAAACAAGTAGAACTTCCAACCAAACCTACGCAGAAATTCTGGTCATGGGATGTGGGGTATTATAGTCAGCAAGTAGTTTTTTGATGCTTCTCTTCAGCCTCCTTATTCTGAGGCAGTGTTGCATTTTGTTGTACATCAATTGGATCAAGAGAATAAAAGCAAGTGACTTCTTTTTCTGACCTGCAAGTTAAACATTGCATAGTACTTTGAGGTGAAATTAGCCAGCTCCTCTGATACTTTTTAAACAAGTGATCAAGGGATTATTTTGTTTCCTTCTACAGATCATACTTATATATAAGGGTACTTGTGAAAAAGTAGAGTTGTTGTTGAACACAGCTGAATTTTTGCTGCTTGGAATTTACCATTAGAGGGCTGAGAAGGAGGAACTGCCAGGAATCGCCTTGTCAGAAATGAAGAAAGTTGAATTGTGAGGGGAAATAAAACCTATCAGCATGTTACGTAGAACAGATGTCCCTGTGGATATTGTTGGAAAGTGGTCCCCAGAAGCCCTAGCCAGCAAAGTCAATAGCGAAGAGTGCTAAGAGTTACAACCCAACTGTAAATGAACAGCTATATAACACCTCCCCCCCCGCCCCCACACACACACACAAAAGTAAAGCTACCCAGGCCATTACATTTGTTGTGGTTTTTAATGTCAAGATAAAATGCACTATTTTATTCTACATATACATTCAGTATCCCTTATGTGGAAAAATAAGTCAGAAAAACATTTCCTATAAAAATCCTGTTCAGAAATTAGAGTCTATATCAGGCATCCTCAACCGCCAGCACTCCACCTGTTTGGGCCTCCAACCCCCAGAACTCCTGACCATTGAACAAGCTGGCTAGGGCTTTTGAAAGTTTGTTTAGACCAAGTTAATGGCCTTTTAGGCTTTTTCCATGTGAATAGGAGTTCATGTTTTGAATAATAATTATATGTCAGAATTTTATAGAAGCTTGGGTATAGCATGGACAAAAAATGGTTGGAAGCCACTTTAGATAGATGGATAGATAGGCCAACCAATGTGCCCCTATACTGATATTCTTCTACGGTCATCAGGTACCAAAATAAATGGGTTTATTTGAGACAAAATTGCTCAATTTGACATAGATTTGCTGGGATGAACAGTATTTTCAGCTCTGCCTCAGATGACAGCTTGTCTTGGGTTGGATTTGCTGCTGAACATCTAGAAACTATAATTTTAAGTGACAAAATGAAATCACCTAGAGTTATAAATGGTAAATTAACTCAGGGTTAGAGATTTTTAATTGCTCCATATACATATATGCTATGCATTCATGATTCATTATTGTTCCCCAAACCCATCTTAACCTGAGGGACAGGAGTATGTGGCACAGGCAAAGACCAGCCTCCTCTAATCCCCAAACCACAACATATGAGTAGTTTCTAACGATTGGTTCCTTAGGTCATTCATAACTACATTTACATAATTATGAATGTGATATAGGATCTCAGTCATTATTTATAAAATTATAATACTATGTAATATAGGAAACTATACAAGCACAGCTAAGGCTCTTGGGGTCCTTGTCCTTTTTTGTGACAAGAAAAGCTGATCCAACACCTTGGAGTTCAAATCCCAGTTACCATCGCAAAGCATGATTTTTGTGGATTCCTTCTCCAGCTGTATTTTCCCAGATCTTTTCAACTGTTACATTGGATGCACATGTGAGCTGAGGCAGAACCTGCTCAGATGCTGCTCCACCAATCATCTTCCACTTGGATTCTTTGAATATACAAAGATTGCCTGAAAATGGCTGCACTTTTATAGAAGAAAACTTAGATCCTGGGAATGCTGAATTGAGCATCTCTGACGCACAGCCTCGGATATAATGCATGACACAAAAAATTGCCAATTAAGCTTGCTTCTTTTCTTTAACTTCAACAGTAAGGATTTCTCCTTCTCCAGGTATGGTGGAAGGTCCCATGGTAATGATAAGGGACTGGTCAGTGATTCCTCTCAGCAAAGTTGGTTTAGGAGGAGAAGGGGGAGGGGGAGTAGGAGATCGTGGTGGTGGTTGGCAACTGGCAACTGGCTCTTCCTTCTGGGCAACTGGCTTAGGTTGTGTTTGAGGTTCTTGGCCCTGAGGAACTGGGGGTGGCTTTTCTTCTGTTGGTTTGGTTTGAAGCTGTACTTTCATCTTTCCTTTTTTCCCCTTTTCTGCCTTTTCTTTTTCTGCCTTTTCTTTTTCTTCTTTTTCTCTCCTTTCTTGTTCTTCCTTTGCTTGTCTTTCTTGTTCTTGTCTTTCTTTTTCGTCCTGAAACAAAAACAGTCAAATATTAACTTCTCTTTTCCTTTCATTTTTCTGCCTTTTCTTTTTCTTCCTTTTCCTTCCTTTCTTGTTCTTGCTTTTCCTTTTCATCCTGAAACAAAAAACAGTTAAGCATTGTTAAATTAAAAAAATGCATGAAGGGAATAGAAGAAGACCACATAGTTCTCATTCATAGAGAAAATGGCGAGGACAATCTTGGAAGAACAGCTCTCATTTCATATAATCATAGAGTTGGAAGAGACCACAAGGGCCATATAGTCTAACACCCTGCCATGCAGAAAAAGCACAATCAAAGCATCCCTGACAGATTGCCATCCAGCCTCTGTTTAAAAGCTTCCAATGAAGGAAGGATTTGTTTTTTCTGATAGAAGAAAAGGCCACAAAGTGAAGGAGAAAGGTTTGGATTGAAATGGCTTTTAGCCATATTGGCTTCAGGATGCTGTGAGTTATAATCCACACTGTACCTTTTCCAAACTCTGCATCTGTAAGAACCATTTCAAAACCTAGATTATTTATTGTTAGCTGTTCTTAGCTGATACCATCTCGAGATTTTCATCTCCCTTGTGTCGTTCAAAGTTCACCCTTCCCATTGCGTACCTGTTCTCTTTTGAGCTTGAGAACTGCAGCCATGCCACCTCCTTTTCCGCCAAGCAAGGCTTGGAACATTTTGGGTGGTTCTAATTTCTGAGTCAGCAGGGAAAAGCCTTTTGCAGTTGGGGCAGGTCCTGGAGGAGGCTTGCCTGTCTTCTTCATGAGTGCTCTGGATCATAGAAAGAGAGAGGAGGGAAAAAAGAAAGAAGTGAAATAGGGTTTAAACTCCCAGTACTCCCGGTAATTCTTCCAGCTTCCGTTAATCTTTCTGATATTTGCTTCCCAACCAGTCAGTGAAGTATACACCTTTTCTATTGACTCCCCCCCCCCCCCAAGACTCAGGCCTTGTGCTATATCTAACCTTTAGTCTCTGTTTCCATTATTTTTCTTTCATTTATTACATTGCATCTTCCATTTCCTCCAAGGAGACCATGGTAGTGAATGGCCTCCTTTCCACACTGATTAAAGTTTCATTGGGAACAAAGTTATTCTACTTTTACTGTTAACCTGTTCTTTTTATCCTGAATTAACAACAGTTTTAGTACACATGTGCACATGTACACATACACATGGACTCTATTCTTTCAGTTTTAAGCTACAACTATTTTATTTCTTATAAGCCCCTGGTGGCTTAATGGGTTAAACCCTTGTGCCAGCAGGACTGCTGACCAAAAGGTTGGCGGTTCGAATTCGAGGAGCGGGGTGAGCTCCTGTCTGTCAGTTCCAGCTTCTCATGTGGGGACATGAGAGAAGCCTCTCACAAGATGGTAAATCATCTGGGCATTCCCTGGGCAGCATTCTTGCAGTCGGCCAATTCTCTTATACCAGAAGCAACTTGTGATTTCTCAAGTTGCTCCTGACATGAAAAAAAACCCAATATTTTTAAATTTAGAAAATGGCAATGATTCCTTGGAGAAACTAATGAATGCTTAATATAGCCTGTTAAAACCACTACAGGAATAAAGTGGAGAAACTGAATTTGTGTGTTGGCTGCCTTGAAGAGTAGGACTCATTCATAAGTGGATGGCAGGTTCTGGGAGCATAATTATGGATTTTGGCATGACCTTATGTTGAGGGTCATTCTGCGGAGCAGGGAAAGCACCAATGCTGCCTTAGATGACCAGCCACACCAATCAAGAAGATCAACATCTGGCCAGGAATGGAACCAGGATGGAAGACGTCTATCATTAATTTACAACGTTGGGACTACATCAACAGAATATTCCTATAAAAGACTCAATCTAATAATGCTCAAAGTGTGACAGACAGAACATTGTTCACCCGCTATGCTCTGCTCCATAGGAAGGAGAAAGATAGTGTACCATGGAGTGGCAAATTTGCAAGGGAGCAGTCTGGTCACTTTGGCCTTCTTTCTCAAGGGAAGAGGAAGAAGTGTGCTTTGGAGTCTTAGATTTTGTGCAGGGAGTCAGGTTCTGCTGTATGGAAAACAGAGATCTGGTTCTTGGCATTGTTCTTAGGGAAGAAGTTTTGGCATTTTGAAGTTATGGCGTTATGGAAGTTATGGAACTATGCATTGGCAGGCCGCAGGAAAGCAGGGTTTGGCCTAACAGGTGCTTCACCAAGGAGGGAGAAAATGATATGGTAATATTTGAATGCCTGAGGATGAATACGTGTACATGTGGCGTGAATGTCGAGTGAAAATGTAATTCCCCTTTGTTTGTTTGTTAGCCATGTAATTGTAAATCCAATGTAGTTGCATAGAATCTATATGTCTGTATGTCCAATGTCATTCTTTGTCTAAATGTTTTTTTGTAATCTGTTATACCTTCCCACACTGGAAATTGCAATAAAAAGAACGTATGCTTTAAAGTTATTGAAAAGTCATTCATGATTGCATTAATAAGCCACAAGAAAAAGACACACTTTCCCTTCTTCCGCAAGAGCTTCTCAGAATCAGGGTAGTGCACCAAGATTTCATTCAGTGTCTTCTTGTCGAGAATAAACAGATTGGCAAATCCGTGGGCTACGACATTTGCTGTCCGCCGATTTCCTCCACTTGCTGCTAATAAGCTGAAATGGCAAAGAGACAGGTATTCCTCTCAGTTTCCGAGTCTAGAGAAGTTTTCTCTGTTGCTTAGAATTATTCTTATAGTTTGATAGCTTGCTAATCTTTATTTTTAAGTTAAGCCTACAAATTCCTGGCCTGTTCTCTGTAGATGAGAACACTTGCACTCCAAAATCTCTCTAATGTAATTTTAAATATTTGAATAATCTTTATTCCCCTTCTTGTATTTTTGTCTATTTCACTTTTCTCTGACTGTGCTCATATGGTCTACTTGATTTGTCAGTATTCATCTTGAATGATGGTGCCTAGACCTCAACATGGTATTTTGCTAGTGCCATCATTTCAGCATTTTAGATCTAGATTTAGCATTGTTTTAGCACTGCTCATTGCTTTGAATGTTACAAAAAAGCAGCATACAAATAAATATGATAATGATGACAATAACACTATGTAACAAAATTTGAAAAAAATACGTTTCTTATTTGAAAGTGTTATTTCCTGTTTAATTGTGTGGTATTTACTCTGAGTTGTCATACTCCAGAAACTTCATTTTTGTAGCTGCCACAAACTATGTTGAATTGGTTGAGTCTCTATGAGATATTCATTTAAAAAACTATAGCAAAGCAGATAATAGAAGAGAGATCCCGAGAGAAAAGTGGTTCACATATAATCAATTAATAAAAAGAAAAGGGCAAGACATAACATTAAAATCTCAAGAGAAATTAAAACAAACGGACCCGACAATTTCCTGGTTCCATTATTTTCAAATTAAAGAAAATTTTGAAAGAGACAAAAAAGTAGGTTTCGAAAAAGAAACCTTCTGGGACAAAATAATAAAAAAACAAAAATTATTAGAAAAATATACCAGCAGCTGCTGAGATGGTCAACGGAAGGGGAATTGGTGAAAGAAACTATGATAAAATGGGCCAAAGATATAGGTTGCTCCATCAATTTTTCAGAATGGGAAGGGATATGGTTAAGGAAACTAAAGTACACATACTCCATCGAGCTCAAAGAAAACTGGTTAAAACTCTTTCACAGGTGGTATTTAACACCAGTACAGATATCCAAATTCAACAAAGGTAGAATAGGAGGGAAATGCGGCAAACATAGAGGAGACTTCATCCACATGTGGTGGAAGTGTAAAATTGTCAAAACCTTTTGGCATCAGATTTACAAAAAAAATAGAACTAATTCTTCAAATCAAATTTGACTTTAAACCGGAGTACTTTTTATTGGGCATTACAGATTTTGACATGGACAACAATACGAATAAGATTATTTTTTTTTTAGTCACAGCAGCGAGAATTAAATTAGCACAGTTTTGGAAAGCTAAAGAAACACCCACTTCAGAACAGTGGATTTTAAAAACATTAGACATTATGTATATGGACTTATTTACACAGAGTATGTCACATAATAAAACCAAAATAAAATAAACGAATTGGGACAAACTCCTAAATTTTCTTGAAAAAGAGAATAAGGAAATAAACATTCTTAGGATGAAATTAGAGTGAAAAAGTAAATCTTTAAAGGACCGACGACCTGAAGATAAGAAGAATGGATACACTCACAGTCGAGAAACATAAAGTGAATTGCTCGAGCCTGGGAGACCTAGAAGTATGTTATTCCATCTGAGACCAGCCTTTTGGTCAATGTGTGTATCCCCCTGTCCCCCCCCTTTTTTTTCCTTTTCTCCTCCTGGAGTTTTAGGTTCGTGTGTTTCTTAAGAGTTCTCATTTCTCGCTTTCTACTCCGCTCCACATTGTTCCCTCACTTTCAATGTAATCAGATACTTTTTATTTTATAACACCTAATGCCTTTCTTTCATGCTCCACTCTTGTGAGCATCTTATTCTAAATAAAAACAATTGGAAAAAAACAATAGCAAAATGTGCTGCAAGATGTCCTGCAAAAACTAAGTTTTTGCAGTTTAATAAACTTTTCCATATTTTTATGACATAACCAATTAGGAAATGGCATTTATAACCCGGGAACAAAAATTGTGTTACATAGTGTAATAGATTTAGCAACCTTTTATGAAGTCAAGCACTACATTCCTTGGAAAGTGAGTAGAGCAAACATTATATGTAAGCAGGGATTTCCCATTTCTTCTCTCCCCCCCCCCACCCCACACACATTTTGTTTTCACTTTTCTATTATTCTCTCCATCCTCCCCAATCTCATCCCATTGTTTCTTTATTTTTGCAGACTACTTTGATCCTGGATAGTGTGTATGGAATGTGGCTGGGAGATCAAAACATGTGTAATAAACAAGGAACAAAACCACCACAATGTCATCGTTGTTTCTGCTTCCTAGCTTTCATGCTATATCACTCTAATCCACATTCCAGTTAAATAGAGATATTTTCCTTCCTTCCTTCCTTGCTTCCTTGCTTCCTTCCTTCCTTCCTTCCTTCCTTCCTTCCTTCCTTCCTTCCTTCCTTCCTTCAACCTGTTCCCTCCTAAGTCAGCCAGTCCGCCTGCGTGTCTCTTTCCTTGAAGAAGGAAAACATCAAAAGTCTTGTACAATACCCCTTGAATGGTAGCACTGGAAGCATTCTTTGTGGAAACACCCATGGTTTCATTTTACCAACAAGGCATTTCTTTAACTTCAGGGCAAAATCAAATAGTAGGAAAATGTTTGTGAAAGCTTAAGTCACAGTCTCAGGTCTCTGGACTTAGGGAGAGATTATGAAGCTCTGTCACATTCTTGGTGGCAAGGGGACTGATCAAACATTTAACACCATGTGTAAGTAAGAATTATTTGCAATGGGGTTACATTACGTGAAAGAATGGTGTAGAGATAAGATACAGAGAGGAGTGATGTGTTCATGCAGCTGTCCCCACTTGTGCATGTTTATGTGATTGCCATGAAGCACCAAAGAGTCATTGATCTGCTACAAGTTTTGGTCTGAACTAGTTTGGGAAAAGGTTCAGTACCTTGGATAGCTTCTTCAATGTTCAAACTCAATGTTGGAATTGATATGTTACTTCAGTATCCTGGAAGCTATCGTTTAGCATCTATATTGCTTAGTCGGGTCTGTACATTCTAGCAAGGTAGTTTAGAATCATAGAATCATAGAATAATAGAGTTGGAAGAGACCACATGGGTCATCTAGTCTAACCCCCTGCCATGCAAGAAAAGCACAATCAAAATATCCGTGACAGATTGCCATCCAGCCTCTGTTTAAATTCTTCCAAGGAAGGAGCTTCCACCACACTCTGAGGCAGAGAGTTCCACTGTTGAACAGCTCGTATGGTCAGGAAGTTCTTGCTAATGTTCAGGTGTAATCTCCTTTCCTGTAATTTGAACCCATTGCTTCTAGTCCTAGTTTCCAGGGCAGCAGAAAACAAGTCTGATCTCTCTGCCTTATGACACTCTTACATATTTATATATGACTATCATGTCTCCTCACAAGTTAGAAATCGTTTTTTCTCTGTTCCCTTTTTCCTTTTGAATGGGATTTTCCCCTGGGTTTTCTAAGCATCACTGTGGAATAAACTGAAGCATTCTGTTTGTCAAAGGCTGGATCCCAGGCTCTTCCTGCTGAAACCTGCCAGAAGACAAAGTAGAGAAGGATCCAGGTGTTGTTTTACGGCATGTGATAAACTGGAGCACAGTTCCATTCCTGTTGCCATCCTGCTATTGTTAATCTCCTGCTGGCAAATCTAAGCTGCTTTTGGAAAACAGGTGAACAGCAATGTGCCAGGTTTAACTTTATCCTCTATTTTCAGCTCGCCCTATGGCAATGGAAATGTGCCAGTTGTATTTAACAAAATGCCAACAGCTCCTGCTAGTCCATAAATAGGCAACTCACAAACACATGTTTTCAAGTTTCCCAAAGACAGAAGAACGGATCCACTAGCATATTCCACTGTCAGATGAGCATTGAAAGGAATGGGAAAAGCACAAGAAGAGCCCAGGAAAGTCAATGTCATTTGTAACATTCTTAAAAGGTTCTATATGTCCATTCATAGAAACATAGTGTAAATTTGAAATGAAATAGAATTCCTGTGTATTCATCATGGATTATCACTATCTCTGGCATGGTACATACACATACATCATAATGTTGTCCATGTTTATTCAGATGTAAACTCTACTATGACCAGTCAGGATTACTATGTAGTTAATATTTTTAGAATTGCATGTATCGTTATCTAAAATCAATAACTAAACCGTTGCTGAATTCAAGAATTGACTCCATTGAAGAACATTGTCTGTGGGGTGAATCCAGATGATGATGAAGCTCTTGTTAGCAGTGATTTAAATTGTGATGGCTTGTTAATAGGTACAATGTTCTCCATACAATCAGAGCAACCAATTAGCAGTAATTTTTTTACAGCTGTTCTAGATTTGTTCATCTGTAGGAAACCCTAATTTATCCAAAGCAATACAAGAATACCTGATCTCTCCAAATACAGCTCCTGCTCTCAAGGTGACCAGGACTTTGGTGCCATCAGGACCCCCAAGTACTTGAACCTCACCTTGTTTAATGATGTACATTTCTCGACCAATTTCACCCTAGATGCACACACAGAGAGAAGAAAGTATTGGAGGTTCATTGTAGATTGATGATGATGAGTGTTATCCTAAATAGAAAGTGTAAAGGCTTTCCCCACCACAACTTAAGGAATTTCCTCAAATTCAGCCCCCCCCCCCCCCTTAGGACAGTTTAATGAAGCAGGATTTTGCATCATGTTGTAAGATGGCCATGACCATAGTAAGATGACTTCTTTTTTCATTATGACTACATCACAAGAAAACCAGGGATGGCGAACATAGGGGCTGTTCCATTTTTATCCATTTACAGTCATGTACTTCAAACAGTCAAAGTACAAAGGAAACTGGTATGGAAGAAACCACACAACTTGCTGTTCTGAAACTTCAAGTTGTTTCTGACTTATGGGGACTCAAGGCTATATTATGATACATAATTGGCAAAATTTGTTCCTAGGGATGGGGTGACATTGCCTTCTTCTGCATCTGTGAGAGTGCAATTTACCCAGGGCAATCCATCAAGTTTCCATTGCTGAATAGGACTTTGAACTCTGGTCTTCTCAAACCATTACACCGCTCTAGTTCTCAAACTCAACACCTCAGTGTAAATTCTGTTGTTATGAGATATCATGAGATTCTTTCCGAGGAGCCTCAGGATAGCATAATGGGCATATTAACCTCACTTGACATTTCAGTGAGCTTTGTGGCTGTTTCCAAATCCAGCTGTCTTTATTCATGTATGATGCTAGACATGAATGTGTTCACTTGCATGTTTACACATATCAAGTCATTCTGGAGATTACTTCACCAGCACCCTTTGTAGAAATGGATAGTGCTAGATAGATAATAATGAGGTTCCTTTGGGAATGGTGGTGAGGAATTTAGATTTGTTGAAGTGGTGTGGGGTCAACCACTTTTCCTCTTCCATCACTTGATATATATAATCCCTTATCTATGCAGCTTCTTTTAGGAAAATAAAACACTTTTGGGAGACATCTCCCACATCTTGTGTTGTTGGCTCTTACATAGTGAAGGAAAAAAACTGATGGAAAATATAGAATAAACAACTCTGTAGGAAATGCAGAAAGGCTTCAGATGGTATGTCCGTCAAGGTGCAAATATATTGTCCTACTGACTTATACAAGTACCCGAACAGCTAAAGATCTTTTTACCTGCTTGCTATGCTTTGAACAGATTTGGAAGTTGATGTTTCCTTTAAACACTCAGCATTCAGTGATATTCAACAGTTTCTCTACCACCCTCTTCTCTGATTCATGCCAAACAATCTGCCTGGTTGTTTATTAAGGAAAGAAATGACACTCTGGGCAATACAAGACTCAGATTGGGAACTATGAAGAATTCTAATTGTCACAAAAACTAACCAGTTAGCTTTCAGCATAACTATTTTGCTCTTAAAAATGGAAATAATGGTTGGCTTCTAGACCTGACAGCAGGACCATCTCCTAAATCTGTACAACACAAGTTTATCTTATATGCAATATAAGATAATGTATTTGGTTTTTTTGTACCAGATGAATTGGTTAGATTAAAAATATGTTGAAGGCTTTAACTTCTATTCCACTTGGAAGAGAATAAAAGGTTTTAACTTTCACAGAGTTCTTTTTCATAGACCAAGTAAATTCTCTCTCAATAGATGTTACTTTTAGTATCCCTTTAACGCACCTTGCCTCTTGCATTCTTCAAGGCAAGCACAGTACCAACAACCCAAACAAATAAAACATTGCACATTCAAAAGTAAATCAGCATTTTAATTATTTTCCTAATGCTTCATTTGCATAATTTCAAAGGGGGAATCAAGAATAATCAGCCAACCAAAGCATCTGCTGTTTCTTGCATATTTACCAGCTCATTTGCAAACTGATTAGCATCCAAATGAAGCCAATTATACCTGGACAAATAGGAATGGAATGTCTGTGGTTATGATATATCTATCCCAATCAAAGTAATCTAGTATGCTAAAAAAGAAAAGAAAAGGTAGCATAAAATGAAAGCCAGTATAGTACAATGGTTTAAGTGTTAACTATGACTCTGGAGACCAGCGTCTAATTCCCCGCCTTACCATGGAAACCCTTTGAGCTAACTTTGGCAAGCACATACTCTCAGTCCCAGAAAACTCCATGACTTGGTCACATTAGGATTGTCATAAGTCAGAAATGACTCGGAGGTGTATAAAAACAACAAACACAACAATGGTAGCATAGTTCAGTGAGTGTTCTTTTTGTACACCTCCGAGACTTTGTTGGATAGCAATGGTGGGAATACTGGCTATTAAATCCAACTAGAGAACTGATTGATTTCTCTGGTATACACAGTAGACCTGCTTGTGCAGAGAATCTCAGATAAAGATAGTCAAGGTTAAAATTGCTTTTCAGCCCTTGAAATATGACATTAGAATTGTGCAAGCACTTCACAAGTCTGATTTATGTTCTTTAAGTAGCAGTCTCTGTGTAGTTATTATAAACAGGACTACTTTTCCTCATTACATTACACTTTAAAGAATACTGTTTGGGGCCTTCCCGCCAACCTGCAATTCCTGTGAAAATTGTCCTCCTCAATTTGCTATTGAGTTTGGTAAGGATGTTCCATTTAGCACTATGGAAGTTTTGCTCTTGTGCCAAATATCGGAGAATGACAATTTATCAAGTGTAAGAGGTAAGATTTTAGATTATTGGATTGACATTATATCCATACCCACACCCCCACAACCAAGAGGTCCTATTTAAACAGTTGATATTCCAACACAACACTGAACCAGTGAATTAATACAATCTATAGTTTGGCTCATACTCAGAAAACTGCTGACCTTGAACCAGTAGATATTAAAACAAGCATGAATGGTAATGCTAATTATTTATTGGCAGAGCACAGAGTATTTAATTTGTGCATCTCAGAAATTTCAGATGGTAAATCATAGTGCGAAAGAGTTCAGTCTCACATGTCCCTCTGTGTATATACTTAAGTACAATTTGGAGCCTGCAACATTTCACTTAAATAACAAAGCCTAATAATGTGTGCCAATAGATAACTCATATTTAAACACAACAGTTATTCATACTTCAATTACAAAAAAGTTGATCATATAAGTAATAAAATCCATATTTTCTGGACCAAGTTTGAAATCTGAGAGCACATTATTATGATTGCACAGAGCAGTGTAATTACTTTTTATGGTATGTAATTTACCCAAGATTAATTTTGTTCAGATTTTGTTCTTGACCTTTAGCTGAACTCCACTTCTAATGCCCTCATTACTCTTGAATTTGTAAGAGAAATAGTCAAGATCACCTTTTTGCAGACAAAATCACCAGGTAAGTACACTATGGATTTCAGTCTCAACAGCATATCGCATATCATTTGAACATCACATCCCTGAAAAAAAATCACAATTGCTATAATTAGAATGATAATTTAGGTAAAACGCTCACTCTTAATATTTTGCAGTACCAGCAAAAGGAAGACAGTTTAATGAAAGGATTATGTTTAATCTTCATGACTGGATCAAACGAATTGGGTGTATAATTTGCTGAGCTGTAGACTAGGTGTGGAGAACTTTTGACCCTTCAGCAATTTCATCTTATAATTCCATCATTTCCAGTCTGCATGGCCAAAGGTAAGCAACTTTGGGAATTAACCAGCCCTCTAACAATTTAACCCTAATTACTTCTTTTTGTGTAATTAATGGATTGGGGAACATAGTCTCCAACTTCATTAAACATTAAATGTTCATGACTGCATATATAATACAAATATTCTAGATTTCATATTCCCTTAACTGGAAATATTGTGTCACACAATAATCAGGTCCACATTGTTGTCTTTAAAAGATTGATTGAGTGTTGCATTGAGTGTTTGGGCCGCTGTATGGTCTGGTGTGCTCCATGTAATGATTCTCCCATCCCCTCCATTCTATTCCAGCACAAAAGGGACAGATTTTGGGACTAGAGTCCCCATTTCTCAAGGCATGACGCCGAAGTTCTGGCCTTTTTTCTCCAGTCCTCAGAGTGAGGGTGAGGGATTTCAGTGTGGGAGCGTTGTTTTGAAAACACTTCTCCCATGTAGCTACTGTCATTTATTGTCTGTTAAAAGCAAAGTTTGTAAAGGTCTTTGGTTGGACTACAATTACCTTGTACAGGAAGTCCCCGAGTTACAAACATCCAACTTACAAACAACTCATAGTTAAGAACGGGGGTGAGAGAACAGGAAGTGAGAGGAATCTAGCCTAGGAAGGGAGATTCACTTCTGAAAGAGTGATCATGAGGGAAAGGTGTCTCAACGGAAGCTTTCTCATCAATACTTTTTTCCACAACAAGCCATTTTTTTTTCAAAATCCAATGATCACAGGGATAGAAAGTGAGGTGAAATCTTCTGAACAAGGGCACAGATACCAAAACGAACACCACAAGAGTGTTAACCTTGCGGCATAATGTAAAATAAAACACGTGTGGTTCACGTTTGATCAGCCCACACACTGCCTTGCCAGAGAAAGAAAATATGCCACACAGGTGAACAGTAAAGAACAAGTAGTTTACACTTCTTACTACTTAATCACACTAAAGAATGAATCCACTTTAAATACTGTTTCTGCCTCCTGCAGAATTCTGAGGATTGTAGTTTAGTGAGGCTGTTAAAGGCTCCTCCCTAAACTACAAACCCCAGTTCAGAACAACATATGTACCCTTTGGGGTGAGAAGGGAGGCATATAAATGTCATACATAATGATGATGATGTGATCAGTTGTATCAATTCACATAATGTCATTCTATGAGAGATTTAAAATAGTCTTTCTTTGTCCATTTGGATAAACTCTTTCAGCAGCTCATGAAGTGAGAGTACACTCCAATGTCTGTCCCTCTCTGCTTCTCTCTTCAAACTGTCACCAGCATAGATCAAGCCTGAACAAAAATACTACAGGATCCAAAAGTCCCAGGTTCAGCCATCTCCCTGAGTATTGCCCGACCAATCAGCTTCATGCATCTTATTTTACAACTGACACACACATACACACTCATTCCTTGCATGCTCCAACAAACCCTTCCCTATGTCATCCAAATCATGTGTGTGTGTGTGTGTGTGTGTTTGTGGCTGGAGTTACACTTCAAAAATGTACCTATACTGACTTGAAAACAAATGTAACTTAAGAACAAACCTACAGAATCCACCTTGTTCATAACTTGGGGGCTGCCTATATTCTCAAAAACAATACATGTAAAGGTATTAAAACAGAACTTGGGGAAATGTGAGTTTTTTTTGGTCAAAACTGAATTTCCAACCAGATAAACATTTTCATATTTGTGCTAGGCATTTCTTATATGAATGTCATGCTCTGAGCAGCTATATTTGGAGCTTAATGTATCATGCTTAATGACATCACCATGCCCTGCAACTTGTGACAACATCTGAGGTATGAGTCCTAGGTCTCAGGTTTTGGCCCCAAAATCTCATGGCCTGGGATGCTCCTGACTTGGAAACTCTAGTTAGAACATCCAGGTCATAGTAATGTTTATGAATATGATGTCACATTGGCGCATTCCTTTGATAAGCACATGTGCATGGTTTTGGTATGTTATGGAGGCCATATCAGGGCAATTTCGAACTACTAGGAAATACATATTTTTCCCTTTCATATGCTTCTGTGTTCAGACATTTTCTTATTTTGCTCTACAACAAGCTGCAAGTTTCAGGAAAATAGTTGGGTATCTTTTATCTTCCAGATGTTTTTGATTACATCTCCCATAGTCAGTCAGGCCGCTTCCACACAGCTGAATAAAATCCCACATTATCTGCTTTGAACTGGGATATATGGCAGTTCAAAGCAGATATTGTGGGTTACTCTGCCTTGATATTCTGGGCTATATTACTACGTTCATCTGGAGAGGCCCTGCTCGTGATCCCGCCTGCGTCACAAGCACGTTCGGTGGGGACACGAGATAGGGCCTTTTCTGTGGTGGCCCCCCGTCTCTGGAACACTCTCCCCGAAGATCTTAGACAGGCCCCTACATTGGCAGTCTTCAGAAAGAACTTGAAGACCTGGCTGTTCCGATGTGCCTTTCCCGATTAGGAAACCTCCAATACCAAGTCCTATAAGCACTTTATTAGAATTAAGACTGCCGCACTCTGCACACTGCACTTGCCCTATAATACCACCTGTCACATCAGCACTTTTTAATTTCTGTACCCTTTTATTCTGGCCTGGCCCAGTTTTATCTTGTTGATGTACTGTTTATTGCTTGTGGTTTGTTGTTTTAATACTGCTTTAATTGTTTTAATTTTGTTTTAAGTGTATTATTGTGTTTTGTATTGAGGCCTTGGCCTTTGTAAGCTGCATCGAGTCCTTCGGGAGATGCTAGCGGGGTACAAATAAAGTTTAATAATAATAATATATTACTGTGTGGAAGGGCCCTCAGTAACCATGAGCTAGGACTTCCATGAACTGAAGAGCAAAAGCCTATGAAATATCAAATATGCATTGCCCTTCTCTTAGATAGTACTTGCTTACTTTACAACAATCTTTTAATTTGATTCCATACATTGTATTATGAATTGAAATTGTTTATTGCGGTTATTTTGGAACAAATACCTTTCAATGCTCAATGTTAGTTCCACAAAAATCAACTTACTTTGAACAAGTCAACTTTACTAACTATGGTAAAGTTCACATCGATAGCAATGGCTAGATGCATTTTTCCTGGCATCTGTTCCAGTAATTCAGATTCATCTGCAAGACAGAATTATACAACTGAAAAAACCCTTTTTATGTTTTTGGTTTTGTGTGTGTATATGTGTGTGTGTGGCAGGAGCGACGTGATAAACTGCAACTTCTGGTCTAGAGAATTGGTCATCTGCAAGGACATTGCCCAGGGGATGCCCGCATGTTATACCATCCTGTGGGAAGCTTTTCTCATGTTCCAGCTTGAGACACTGGAGCTAACTGATAGTTCACCCCGCTCCCTAGATTCGAACCACTGACCTTTCAGTCAACAGTCCTGCTGGCACAAGGGTTTAACCCACTGAGCCACTGAGGGCATTGTTGTATGGTACAGTCCCAGATAATTCAGAATATCAGAATTATATAATTATCAGAGTATGGCTAGAAAAAAAATCTTCTATTTTTTTTTACAAAAGTAGAAAAACTGCAAAAATTATACTAAGCTTTGGACTATTGGGCTGACCAGTATTTCAGTTTACTTTGTGTGTGGTGTTTGTTTTTTAAATGAATAGTTATATTTTTGGACTGGGGGAATACCCATGCCTACTCCAGTTTCAAATATATCAAATGCTATTGTTGTTCCCAATAGATAAAAAAGGAAAACATTGTTTCAGAATTTTACCCAGCATTCCTTGGGAGTCCCATGTATACTCATACCAAGTTCGAACACGATTCTGAACAATTCTTGGAATTGTATTAACGTTCATGTATGAAACGGTGTTATCCATAGAAGCACGATAGTAGTTCTGCCCTGCTGTGGCTGCTCCAATGACATCCCGCATCTGCAAATATCATCAGTAATATACATCATATTATAATAGCTTGCTGAGATTTAATGGTCAGTTAGAGGTGCCAACTGGAGATGGCAGTATCTGAACTGGGTATTTTTCTTTACGAGACAACCTTGTCTACAATATCTAAAGGAGTCACTCAAAGAATGGAGAAAATAGCTATATCGATATCTACCTCTTTATCTATAGTTAAATGCACTAAATATGTTTTAAATCTCAACTGGATTTATCTGTCTAGCCTTCCCAAAGCTAATCTACACTGTAAAATTAATGCTGTTTGACGCAATTTTAAAAGCCAAGGCTCAATACTATAGAATGGTAAAAGTTATTAATTTTTTAAAAAATCTTTATCTTTCTCTGCCAGAGAAAGCTGGTTACTCACTAAAATAGGATTCGATACCACTGAGTTCAGGCTATTAAAGTGGTGTCAAACTGCATTAAGTCTATAGTGTAGATGCACTCATTTTCTAGCTGGGGATGAATCTATCACTGGCAAGGCTGAGGAAAATGAATCCAGTCATATTTATACCCTTCCCAAGATATTTTATTGTAGCTTAACATCAGGTTTAATACAGAAATGCACATATTGATTACAAGATACATTTTAAAATCAAAAGTTAAATTAATTATAATTGTTTACCTGACCAATCAGACTGGAGAATACAAAGACTCCTGAGAAAAAATTCAGAAGTTGAAAAACGATTTCAAACGTGGTTACTGGTTCAGGAAGTCCACCGATAGTAATTAAAGTTCGAACTGCCCAATAGTAACTTCGTAGATACCTGAAAATATTACAGAGTATTGCACCATCATCGTCATTTTTTTGCTATTTTGTTAAGCAAGTAATACCCAGAGAAGGTTTGTCATTGCTAAGATTTTTATTTTTGTTGTAATTTTGTGGATATTTTAAACCTTTCCATTTTCTATTATTCCCTTTAAAATAATGCATTTATAGGAACCGTTTCAAATAGCACCTCCTCGATGAGCAGTGAACTTTTTTTTTTGTAAGAACAGTTTTCTAATACAATTTTTGCAGAAAGCAAAAGCAACAGAAAACTGCTTAGCTACAAAGTTGTTTCTGTACAAATGGAGGTAATGCATGAATTCTCATTCCATTCGCTATAATAATAGAAAGCATGCTTCACCCTCCAGTAGTCATATCTTTGGATATCCTCCCTCCAAATATATCAGATATACAAAACTGTTCATGAACACAAGAGACATTATTGATCACCCCATTAAATTTCAAAAGAAATAGTCTTTCTAAAAGTTAATTCTATAAAAAGAAGTTTGGTTACACAGAACTCCTTTGAAAAGTCAGAAAATGCCAGAAGTTTTGTCTGTGTTTTTCAGTAAGACATCTCCGGAAATGTCAAATATGTCAATGTGATACTGCTAGAGCTAAATAACTTATTTTAGGCAATCATCTAAGCATAAACAATGTTATTTCAGCAAATAATGGGAGGATGGAGACAGGTAAAATTGAGTTACAATCAGAATTTAACCAATTTCCCAAAATTCAAACTTAAGAAAAATTAAAACAGATTTGGAATCATGACAGGGGTGAGAAATGCAAAAACAAATGAACAACTACAAAAAATACAAAAGAGCTTACATATTTCCTTTGCCATCATAAACCCATTTAGTGCTGCCAAGTCCCTCATAGACTGAGGCACAATAATATACGCATGCATTCAAATGTAAGATGAACAAGAGGTATCCAGTAGTTCGAATGACTCTGCAGAACACAAATAATAGGTAAAAAGAATGTATGTAATTCCTGTAGAATATATATTTCTTTGTTTGTTCTCCCTTTAGAGATCTTGATTTTCATCAATAGTCATGATACATCCTCAGTGACTGTAACAATGACTAGCATTGACTGAGTGAAGAAAACCAGTTGGTAATCTGTCTTCCGCTTCTCCAAAAGCCAAATGAACACTGTCATATAATAATGGGAAGACAGCTCTGGTGAGGTATGTATCCCATAAGATATCTCCGCTTGCAAATTCATTTCAATCAGCTAAGAATACTTATAAAAGATCCAATGGCATTTACTAGTTTTGTCAGATTTTGTCAGTGTGTACATCATACATAGAATTGGGAATGGATACTTACTATTCATCTAAAGTTTTCTATTCAGGATTTCTCTAAACTGAAAAATACAGCAAACAAATAGCCCTGCCTTAAGGCTTGTCTATAACATCTATTCATCCGGAATCCAGTGCTAGCAGCCTTCAAGATACACAAAGATTTCCAGTAAGTATTTGGAGTTTTTTGCACTGAAGTCCAGCTTTGCTACACACTAAGCAAAGTTGGGGGATACTCCAGAGCAGCGGGTTCCCAAACTTTGGAACCCTTTGGAAAAGTCACCCCCCCCCCAGAACCCTAACTCTTTCTCAGTTTTTCCTGTGAAACTAACTCCGTCCCTAAGCATTATGAACTCATGAAAAAACTTTATGAAAAATAACGACGGATGCTTATTTTGTACAAAAAAAATATTGGATTCACACCAAATGTTCTGAATGAAATATTTCATTTTTGTACTTGAAATAGTTTTAAAATTGGGCTTTATGTTAAAATCTGGGGTGGCACCCAAATTACTCCTATATTTGTTTTTGGTGTATACCCAAACTGAAAACCTTGATTTGCATCAATATTATTTATTTATTTACTGTATTTTATACTGCCATTCTCAGCTCGGGGGCGACTCCTTGTGGTTTACATTAATGGCACAATTCGATGCCCATAACAATATGATAGGTGAACATGAAGGGGAGCATTGCTCAGATAGCCTTTCTGGCTCCTGACAGCTCTATACTTATCAGTCATTCAGTGGCACAGATTCAATTTTTTTCTTTAAAGCAAAGATACATGGAATTTCAATAACTCTACTCTGACACATAGTTCTTTAAAAGATTATTTTCCAGATTTTAAAGGGTTTTTTTGTGGAATCCCTACAATGCTTTTGTGGAACTCTAGGGTTCCATGGAACACAGTTTGGGAACTGCTGCTCCAGAGTTTGCAGGAAACTCTGGAGTTCTCTGTGACCATCTGGACAAGTAGACTAGTTTCATTTAGGCATGATAGTTGTTTACAAGAACACCACCACTATCACCCCTTTTCCTGTGCTGATCAGTGCAGGGAAGGTAAGGGGTAGTACTTGTGTCACCACCATAACTCCTTGCTAGCCATGAAGCTCCCTGTGAGCACCTGGTCATCACAATCACATTTGCTGAAGCCAGAATGGGGCAGCTGAGTATTCAGCAAGAAGGAGGGTGTCACTTTACCCCCTCCTTGCTGGTCAGTCACACGGGCATTATATTATGACTTCAACTCTCATGATAGGTGATGTCTAGATGCATTCACGAAGCAATATGCAAAAGGACGGTCTGAACCATTTGGACAGATGCATTCAGCAGGTACATGCTGGATCTAGGGCAGCTCTATGTTACAAATGCCCTGGATTAACTTGCCACATTTAGACACATGTCGCCGCCCTGAGTCGCCTTTGGGCTGATATGGGCAGGGTAAAAATAATATTAAATAAATAAATAAGTAAATCTAACCTTTCCAAAATATCCTTTTGAAGTAGGTTCTTGTAATGCTTTCATTTTCAGACAGCAAACAAAGGAACTGAAAATAATCTTACTCATTGTAAGAGATAATAGATGCTGAAATATTTATCAGGACATCACAACATGAAACTGGAATATATGACGCACATACCTATAGATGTAGGCTTTATCCATTATTCCCTCTAACCGGTCATTAAATTCAAAGAATGTGAGGACCTGAATGTAAACCAAGAAAGAGGAAAAATAACTGTATTTTAAATAGCAATAACGCATTGTGTACTTCCAACATTATAACAATGTTTAAATGATCCATTTTACAGTCATCACTTTGCACAACTGGCAACACTAAAACCCCAACTATTTGACATTTTCAATATTGCTTTTCACCCTCAGGACCTGGGTTATGGATGATACTTTTCCATTTAGCAGATCAGTGATCTTGATGAATTATAATGATAGTGATATTTTAGTCATCCAACCAAAGTTTCTTGAACACAGAGAAAAAATTTCAGTTCTACTAATTTCTGCTCCTAAGTTATTATTTTTTCAACAGGAAGGTGACAGTCGGGATAATTACATTTCTAAATTTTACAAATGAAGAAGGTTTATTTAGACAATTAAATGGAAATGTATAAACAAAATGAAGTGGTGATGGTGGTGGACCCAGAACTATGGAACACATGTCTCTGAGAATGATACCACTTCCAAGGAAGCAGTAATTTCCCATCATCCAGGTTGTTTGCACATCCTTTAAGGAATTGCTTTCTGAAAATAATTCAGAACATGACTCAGCTGATCTGAGCTCCCAGGGGAAGAAAAAACCACTTGCAATCATTTTCTTTCAGCCAATTGAGTGCAAGGGAACTGCCTCCTTCCCCTCTGACTCTCTTCCATGAAAGCATGCACAAAGCAAGGTCTCCTCCTGGGAAAATGGCTTGGCAGTGACAGTGAGGGAGGGGAATATCACAGACATCCCCAAAGGCATTTGGAGGTGAAAACTATACTTTTATTGCCGGGGGGGGGGGGGGGAACAAAACCATCCCTTAAGCTACATGCTGACCATGGGCCACAATGTACTCACACCTGTGTTCATTTAATAGCATCCACTATTCCTGTGGTACAATAACATGAGATTTGGTTTAGCTTCGTGTTTTCTGAATGTTGGTCTTCCAGAAATTTTGGGCTTCATCTCCAATAATTCCTGACTGTTGGACAAGCTACCTGTGGCTTCTGGGAGTTGGCTTCTGGGAAACACTAGTCTAGTCATTTGTAGGAGGTGGTCTTAATAAGAAATGTCTTTAACAAGAAATGAAAAAAAAATCATTTGTCTTCTTGGAAGAACACTGTGAAGATGTACAGATAGTCACCAAGATCCTACATCATGCTGATGGAGTGTAGCTATCTGCCAGTATACATATGCTCCCTCTGTCTGGTTGCTTGACTTGGGGGAGGGTATTACCCAAATGCTTGCTTGCGGACAAATGTCAGCGTGCTGGAAGAAGCAAAGACCACCAGCATTGAAGCGATGGTCCTCTGCTATCAACTCCGCTGGGCCGGCCACGTTGTCCGGATGCCTGACCACCGCCTCCCAAAGCAGTTGCTCTACTCTGAACTTAAGAATGGAAAACGGAATGTTGGTGGACAGGAAAAGAGATTTAAACATGGCCTCAAAGCCAACCTTAAAATCTCTGGCATAGACACTGAGAACTGGGAAGCCCTGGCCCTTGAGCGCTCCAGCTGGAGGTCAGCTGTGACCAGCAGTGCTGCAGAATTCGAGGAGGCACGAGTGGAAGGCGAAAGAGAGAAATGTGCCAGGAGGAAGGCGCGTCAAGCCAACCCCAACTGGGACCACCTTCCACCTGGAAACCAATGCCCTCACTGTGGGAGAAGATGCGGGTCAAGAATAGGACTCCACAGCCACCTACGAACCCACAAGGAAACGCATAATGGAAGACCATCTTACTCGTCCAACAAGGGATCGCCTAAGTAAGTTAAGTATTAACCAAATGCAGCTCTCTCATCCTGGCCACTACAGTTTTGCCTCCAAGGTTATTTAAGTTACTTTTCCATAATCAGAGAAAGCAAAAAGGTCTCTTCCCCCAGTGTTTAGGATGTTCCTTTCTTATTTATTTATTTACTATATTTATATACCGCTCTTCTCAGCCCTGGGGCGACTCAGAGCGATTAACAATAGCAAAATTCAGTGCTCAAAAACATCATAAAGCATTTAAAACAATTCAAAACAGTAGCATAATAATTCTCCATTAGTGAACAGTTAGAACAAATCTGGGAAAAGCCCTGCAGCCAATCTGGGAGCTAAGAGTTGGACTTGCACCCTGCTGCCTACTGGATGTTATTGGTCTTCTGGCGGAACACCTCCTTCTGCAAGATCTTAAGAAGTAACTGTATATACTTATGTTTAAGTCAACTTCATATATAAGTAGAGGGCAGATTTATGGGCCAAATTTCTGGATTTGAATATGACCCATGGATAAATGGATGGTCATTCCACAAGGGAAAGCACTTGTGCTTCTTCAGGTGTTCAGCCGCCACTGCCACTAACATTTTCCTAATAAGCATTAAAAAAAAAACAACGACAGAAAATGTCATAGTGGAGAGAGTAGAGGAAGTCAGTGCTTCCTTTATGTTTTCCAAGATTGACAAGTCAGAGAAGGGAACACTCAGAGGTATGGTATAGTACTTACATTGACTTTTGGATAAGTTGACCCAAATTTCTTGAACTGATTTTTAGACATGAGTATATACAATACATCTGCATTTTATCACAACACAATATTATACATTTTCTGATAAATTACTGCTAGAAAACTACTTTGAACATTGATTTTAGTTATGAAAATTAATGTCTCCTAAGAATCTGATTAACATTAGTATCAAAAGGCATGTTCCAATCCACTTAGTCAGAACTGGTATAGACAATGAAACCTCTTTTTATATATATAAAAAATAGAAATTTGTGTTATGCTAACAGAAAACATTTGACTCCTTGCTGTACTTCATATCTTTGGAAATCTATTCCCTCACTGTCTGCCACTTATCAATGTGATTGAGTCATAATAACTATTCTCAGATTATAATTTCTATCCCAGAAATGAATGCAATAGTAGATAATCTCATTTTACCTTAAATACCCGGTTTGCTCTGAATATTGCGTAAAATCCAAATATAGCATATAAGACATCGAATGGTATTACAGAAAACACATCAAGCTGTTGGAGAAAACAGTACAGTTATACTATTAAATTAAACATTATGCTTTCACAGTTTTGGTGTACAAAAGTTGGAGAAGAGTTATATGCATATAACAATGGTTGCCAAATTAGTGAACACCTATGACCATCATGCATTTGTCCAAATTGCAGTTAATCACTCACCTTGAGAAATAAAGGAAAAACAGGAATACCTGATTCCAGAGTTGTCTTATCTATTAGGTACTTTTAGAGTTTAAGGCAGGCATGGGTAAGCTTCAGCCCTCCAGGTGGACTTTAACTCCCACAATTTCTAACAGCTGGTAAGGTGGCTGGGATTTCTGGGAGTTGAAGTCCAAAACACTCGGAGGGCTGAAGTTTGCCCATGCTTGGTCTAGGGCCTATAAAAATGGCGATTAACAAAAAAGATTATAAGATTTGGGAAGCAAAACAAAAATTAAATACTACTACTACTACTACTACTACTACTACTACAATTACTACTAATTTTGCATCCTGTCTCCATTTCCCGAAGGGACTCAGGGCAGCTTATAGGGGGACAGCGCGATCAAATATAACACAACAAAATTAATAAAACAACTTCATAAACAGTATAAAACATACCACGCATAACACAACCTAAAACAACCTTCAAGCAAACCACCAATGGCCTGAGTGGTAAACAGTTTCTGAGCTCAGGTGGGTGGACTGGTGCAAATCATTTGCAAGGACAGGGCTCATGGATAAAGTGCTGGAGCCAGATGACAAATCAGGGAATGGAGGGAGGGCAATGATAAAGAGCACTATATCTTTGGTTAGGGAACAGCGGTAATGTGTGAGGACTAGGTTTTAGATCATAACTGGGGGCCAACATATCTGGTGAACTGTCTAATCAAAAGCACAGTGAAACATCCATGTTTTTAGTTCTTTGCGGAAGTTGAACAGAGTTGGTGCCAGTCTAATTTCCCTATGGAGAGAGTTCCAGAGCTGGGGGGGGGGGGGCGCACCATCGAGAAGACCTTCTCTCTTGTCCCCACCAACCACACTTGTGATTAGGGTGAGAACGAGAGGAGAGCCTTCCCAGAAGATCTTAGAGATCATGCAGATTCCTAGGGGAAGATGCAGTCACAAAGTTAGGCAAGCCCCAAACCATTTAGGGCTTTATAGGTGATAACCTGCACCTTGAATCGAGACCGGAAACTTATCAGCACACAGTGGAACTGTTTGAACAGAGGGGTTGACTGCTCCCTATAGTTCGCTCCAGTTATCAAGCTGGTGGCCAACCTTTGAACTAGTTGCAGTTTTTGTTCAAAAATTCAAATAATGATATTTTTGACTTCTGGTTTGTAATAGATATGGATTTTTGAGATCCATAGAGGTTGATGTGACAAACTCTATGTTTTTGAGCAAAATGCAATATAAGCCAGCTGCGACCATACCTCATGAAGCCTGACTTGATGACTTGACCACGGTGGTCCATGCCTTAGTTACCTCTAGATTGGACTATTGCAATGCACTCTACATGGGGCTTCCCTTGAAGACAGCCCGGAAACTTAAATTGGTCCAATGCTCAGCAGCCAGACTTCTAACTGGGGCAAATTACAGGGAGTGCTCAACCCCCCTGTTTAAGGAGCTCCAATGGCTGCCATTTATCTTCCAGTCCCAATTCAAGGTGCAGGTCATCACCTATAAAGCACGGTTTGGGGCCCTCCTACCTTTGTGACCGCATTTCCTTTCATAAACCTGCACGATCTCTTTGATCTTCTGGAGAGGCCCTTCTTTCACCCCTTTCTCTTTCACAGGCTCAACTTGTGGGGACGAGGGAGAGGGCCTTCTCCGCTGTGGGCCCCCGCTTCTGCAACTCACTGCCTAGGGAGATCAGGCAAGCCCCTACCCTAGCTCCTTTCAAGAAAGATCTTAAAACTTGGCTTTTCCAATGTGCCTTCGGAAAGTGACCACTCAACCCATCTGGTTGCTTCCATTTACAGCTGCCCTCAGAATAAAGCACCTTCCCCTGCCCTCTATAAAGGCAAATCCCATTGCTCCTCTCTTTCGGCTCCTCTTTTATAAACACAGTTTTATCCATATCTCACCCAGGGTTTTAACCTTTTCACATTTTCCTCATACATCTGGCCCGCCCTCTGTGTTTGGGTTTATTAGGTTATTTTATATTGTTTCCTGTATTTGTTATTTTATATATTTTGTTATAATTTATTTTCTTGTCAATCTTGTGTTTAATCATGTTGTATTATTTTGTGCTTGGCCTCATGTTAGCCGCCCCAAGTCCCCTTTGGGGAGATGGTGGCAGGTTATAAATAAAGATTATTATTATTATTATTATTATTATTATTATTATTATTATTATTATTGTAGGTCCCATCTTTGGAAGATTGCAAATAATTCATTAAATTTCATATGTTGTCAGTGTTTTAATATGACTTCTTGGTTTTATGATGGAGGAATTCCCTTAGAAGTAATTTATTTTATTTCAAAGGAGGACTATTGTGTGCCATAATACTTGGACTGTGAGCAAATAAACGGACACTCAAATATTTAGAGTTTGGAGACCTACTATTAGATTTGTCAAGAAATATAGTATCTGTTATAGAATTGTTTATGTCAAATCATGTAGATGACAACAAAACAAAATAAAATTCATAGCTGCAGTCTGGAAGATAGAAGAATGGGACAAATGATCCAAAGTTTGCTCACTTACCCGAAATTTTAATGAACTGCGGTAATATTTCTTCATTTCAGCTGTATCTGACTACAATTAGAAGCAGAGAAACACACTCAGCTCAAACTCAGTAAAAAACAGTCCAGTATTATTCTGATAAACACACATTTTGGAGGAAACAAAGGCCAGGCGGCTTCTATGCAGATGACCTTACTAATTGAGTATGTTGTCTTCATGGTTACTCACATGCTAATGGGTGGATCCCACTCAACACATACAAATCTAGCTTGCTAATTACACCCTTTACCCATGTTTAACCGACAATGGTTCCTTTCTCCCACCCTGGACATTTCACAGGTATATATTTGCTTCAGATCCCCTGAATATGCCAGCCACAAATGTGGGCGAAACATCAGGAAAAAAAGTCTGCTTAGAACATGGCCATGTAGCCTGAAAACCATACAACACCCCTGTAATTCCGGGCATGAAAACCTTTGACAACACATACTCAGAGATGCTTTGGCAGTTCCTCTGAAATATAATGTGAACTTCATTTGTGTTTTCCCATTTCAGTACTAATCAGGAGTGGACCTTCTTAAACTCTATGATTATATGAAAACTGGTAATTTAGAACATTTTCCATTTCTTTTATGAACCTGGCCTAATAATTAGCAGATCAGTGGATGGCTGATAGTACAGCACATTTTACTGTACCATTAACACAGTTTGACACCACTTTAACTGATCTGGTTCAAAGACATGCAATCCTGGGATTTGTAGTTTGGTGAGGCATAGCATTGATCCATGGCATTAAAGTGGCGTCAAACTTTATTAATTCTACAATGTTGATGCACCTCTAGGCCAACACTCAAACCACTACAGTGTGCTGACTCTTAACAACATAAAAATAAACACAAATATAATACAAGTAGCAGTTTATATGAGTATGTTTTTCTACCTTAATAGCCAGAGATATAATAAATGGATCAAGGAGATGATCAAGTGATTTTTCTGTCTCTTACTTCTGGATATACTCTACTTACTATTATATCTCCACCTCTCACAAATTCTACTCTGGGCTGAAATACCAGTACATCACAGATATAGCAAAGGTCACATAAGAAGTCCACAACAATCCAATTTATCATGTTGCTTGCTGTGTGGACTGGGAATGCCATACGCAGTGGGATGAGCCAGCAATTCCAGTTATAAGTTATGGTAACAAGGAACAGCCATCCTATATAGCGACGATCTGGAAAATAAAGATATGCGTATTCATAGAAGCATTGTTCCAAAGCATAAATTAAAGCAACCAATGGATACAAAAATTAATTGATGAATCTAAATGCAAATGAAGGACCAATCCAGACATTACATATTGGCTAACCTACAGTTTTTGATGTTAAGTAAAATTTCAAATTAGAGATGGGGGGGGGGGAGGGATTGTGTCAGGAATGACTTGCATTAGAGATGGTAAATTTTAGGAACGGGCTTAGCTTTCCGCAAAAGGGAATTCAGAGCTCCAGGGGCGTAGCCATTGAAAGACTCTCTAATGTATGTATTTTATGGGGATGTGTTTTAATTGTGTTATGCCCCACCTTGGGCAGTGAGGAAAGGCATGTAACAAATTGATGATGGTGATGATGATGATGATACTTGATCTTTCAAAGTCACATTGAGAGATAAAAAATGTCCTTCAGCTTCAAGAAATTTGGAATAAACTCTAGGCACACACAAACAATGCACAGATTGCCCAGAAAATGATGGGAAGATTCTGTTTGCAGAATAAAGAATGTTTCCAGGTAGCCATGTCTGTTTTGTGAAAGCTTGCTGCTTTTTTTTTAAACAAAGAAAACAACAATGTTGCACAACAAAAAATGTATCCGGGAATGTTGCACAATAAAACCAATTTTAATTTGACATTGCTGTTATCCAACATTGCTGAATTACGTGTAAAAATAAAAAGAGTAAACAACAAAAATATTGTATAACAATAATATTGCACAATAATAATATGGATAACAAAACCAATTTGATTTTGTACTTGGCTTGTTTTTGTGTGAATGTTATGGACAGTCCATGACACCTCCAGAGGATTCCAGGTTAGAAAATTGGCCCATGGACATGCTGGAGTTGGTTATTCCATTTCAAAGAAACTGTGAAGTTGTCAGAGGCCTCTATAATCATAGTACTTTTCAAACCCGGTATCCACAATGCATACCACCAAGTGGATACTTGGAAGCAATTGATAATAGCAAACTATATATTTTGACTATATTTTGGACCAGAAGATTCCCATAGAATTGTTCTGGAGGACATAGGGACACCAACAAACACTTTCAAGGGGGTGGAGATTTTTTTTGGTGTGGATAAATGAAACCCTCGATATCGAATCTTTGGATAAGGGAATCATATTGTATGTAGCACCATAATGTCATTCTGTGTAAAGTGTTTCGTTGTGAAAGGAAGCACCCATCTTACCTGTGTATGCATCTATACTTTCTGGTAGCTTCAGTTTTTTCATATATGCTTTGATGGGTGGCCTCTTGAATTTACAGCACAGCATGTCACAGTAATGGTCTTCCTCGGGTTTGACTTCTTCTGCCTTTTTTTCTTCATCTTTCTTTTCGTCCTTCTTTTCATCCTTCTTTTCATCCTTCTTTTCATCCTTCTTTTCATCCTTTTTTTCTTCTTTTGGCGGAGGAGGCGGGGGTTGCTTTTTGGGTGCTAAGTAAGTTTTCAAAAGGCAGCTTTTAATGTAAATTACTCAAAAACACCAAAGCACACACTACTGTAGTTGTATGTATAACTACATACTGTAGTTATATTGAAGTCTCAGGTCCAGTTTGATGCTGACAAAATGAACTTTCTCTTTGGCACAATTATGTTGAACTGTGTCATTCTGCACACAGTTGTACAAAATGACAAATTGACAGCCAAGGCAAGACAAATTGAAAACTTTTCACAAGCATTAAAAGCTTGCACTGTGCCAGCATCACTTACCATCATACTTTTGACTACTGAAATGCCCTAAGTCAGGAGTATTCAACCTTTGGTCCTCCAAGTATTTTGAATTTCAGTTCCCAAAATTTCTGATTGTTGGACAACTTGGCAAGGGCTTCTGGGAGTTGGAGTCCCAAACACCTAAAGGACAAAAGGTTGGACACAACTACCCTAAGTTGTACTAGTGTATTGAGACAACTGAATAGTGACCAAGGTAATATTCTTCTCAGGTGTCTCTGTTAACAACTGTCAATAAAGTTTACATTAAATGCTATTCTGCTGTGATTGCAATGTGCATGCCTCGTGTATCAGTGTCCTAATTCAGAAAAGTGGTAACAAGGGATGAAAACCAATATTTTCTATCTCCTTACCTGCACAATGATATCATTAATATTACCTGAATAATATGAAATGTATTTTTTCATCATGGTCTCTGTGAAATTGCACATATGAGTCTTCCATGCATGCACAAAGCAGTTTGGAACCTTCTAGAAACTACAGTGAAACATTTTGGCAGTAGCCCTGCTCACTCTTTGTCCCTTTTGTCCACAGCAAAAGCAACAGTTTAAGAACCTCTCAATCTCTAGCTCCAATTCCTAACATTTTTTTGGACTTGGACACATTTTTGACTACTCTTTCTGATACTACCTTGGACTTGGCTCATTGATTGACTGATTTCCTGACTACAATTTGGCTATCCTCTGGACTCTGCTCATGCTAAATGGACAGGCAAGTTCTTTCTCTCTGTTCTCCTTGCAATGATGGCATCCATCTCGAGCTGTAATCTGCCTCGAGCTGTAACCCACCTCAAGCTGTTAGGAGGGGCAGGTAAGAAATAAAATAAAATAAATAATAATAATAATTCACAATGATGCTTTAAAAGTGCACATCTAAACCTGCACCTCAAGATGCTGCTGTACAAGCGGGTGCTGATGGGGTAACCTCACCTCCCTGACAATCACACGTCCCTGTAGCAGCCTACCATAGCTATGGATTTAGCCTCCACATTGGCTGCACAGCTCTTGCCAGCCTCCGGTGGCCTCAACTCCCATCTAAAAGTGAAAAAGCCGAAGTGCCCCTTAGCTCGCTTCCTCTCAGGCAAAGAGGCTGACCATGCCAAAGTAGTTCAAGAGAAGGGCAGAAAGGGGAAGCAATGAGATGGTGGAAAGCCCTCGGATCCCCACTCTAAGGTGTTGGGCTCCCCCAACCCCAGGCTGTATCAGAGGGTAACAATACAGATCCTCCATCATTATCACCATTGATCGATTCTATCCTGCCTGCACATCTGATGTTTGTGGAGCCCCAGCAGCTGCCTGTGGAGAGGGAGTTGCTCCTTGCCCTCCCATAACTATCTCAGAGGGCCTGCCATCGCAAGAGCAAGGAGGATCACTCTCTTTGAGAGTGCTGCCCCCGAATGTGGTCGAGATCATTTAAACAGACAGGAGGGACTCTAGATCGAGGCCACTTCCCCATGTGCCACTCCTCCTGGTCTTGGTATTCCTAACAGTACCATTTTCCATCCACAAGATCTTGGAGCTCCTATTCATGCAGCCTCTCCTGGGACACCTTCTACAGAATAGGCTCCTCACCTGAGCATTTTAGCCACCCCTAGTACTGGGCTAGACTTTATGGCTATTACACCCTTATGATAGGTCATGATTAGTGCTCACATGAAAGCCTCCACCATCTTCGTCTCTCATGTGTCCTTCACCAGAGTGCGCCAAGTTGCCAGCACCCCCCCCCCTCCCCCAATGTGGTGGTTTTGGCAAAAGGAAGGGCATTGCCTTTCTAGATCAGCAAAGAAGAGATAATGAATCAAACCTTGGAGCCATTTCCAGAAACACTAAACAAGCCCTCACTAGATGACCCTCTTGAGGACACTGAATCAATGCTCTCGAACAATCTGTGTGGATTTTCAGCCTTCATGATGTGCCTCTCACATGCCCTGAGCTTAACACTGGCACAACCAACTGTTGATAGAAGACCTGGTCTTCTCTTTTTCATAGCACAAGCCCCCAACTGTTACATTGAAACTGCACTATATGGTAAGTTTAGACTCAAATAATGCTGTTCAGTGCAGTTCAAGTATATTATATGAGTCAACACTGACCATATAATGCAGTCTCAAATCGTATAATATGGCGGTATAGATGGGACCTCTAATATTGGGCAGGATACAATTTCAATTGACTTACTGGCTGTTGGACTGGGCTCGGGAGAAGAGATGACGGGATCTGTCAGCTTTTCTCTATACACAGCTGTCCTTTCTTTCATTTTCTTGACAATTTCTTTTAGCTGTTCTTGGGCATATTCATTTATGGGTGTTCCTGGTCTTTTATTCTCTGCACTGTTTGGGCATGGATGGGATGAGAAAGAACAGTTGAGAAGTTAGAAACAAATTACAGCATTGATATAAGTTTGACACATAGCAAATAACAGTAATTTTTACTAATTCAAAGTAATTAAATAGTAATATAGTAAGTAAGAACATATGATTACCAGGGAAGCATTGAGTGACATATATAGTCCTTTGCCTTGAGTAGCTGATGTTATTTTGTTACATAGTTCAGGTCTTCACAAGTGTCCTGTACTATGCTTCCTTAGCAGAATATTTTGAAGTTGTTTCATAGTAGCTATCAAAAGCCTCACATTAATGTTATGTTCAAAGTAGGCCTCCTAATTTGCCACTCTCTTGACATCCTGGAATCTTAAATCAAGGTTTCTTCTTGGTTTATCATTCCTGACTTGTATGGAAGCGAAAAGATGATTTTTCATACTGATGAGTTCATGAATTGTAAATGAAAGCTGAGAATTCTGCTTGACAGAAATGAGGCACACCTTTTATGCATACTCCTTTACTTTATATATGAGTGGGATAAACACATGAAAAGAAAAACATATAGTAACCTATGTGGAACATCCAGAGTCCTTGACCTCCAGAATACAGTGTATCACAAGCGTGATTGGCAGAGACAAGGGATAGAGTCTTCTCAGTGATGGCTCCCTCCCCAGAGGTATTAGATTGCCCCCCTCCATCCTGACTTTCCAAAAAAAAAAAAAAAGGTAAAAACTTGCCTCTTTGAGCAAGCTTTTGAGAATGCAGTGGAATAGATAACATGAAACTATGAATGATGAACATGGAATGGCCAGACGATGTTACTAGAAAACGATTTTAACAAGATGACATTGGTGACTACATGTTTTAATGGTTTTTATATATGTTTTTATATTGTTATGTTGACTGTTTTTAATCACAGTTTTATGAATGCATAGTATCGAATCATGCCAATCTGTAACCCTCCTTGAGTCGCTGTTTGGTTGAGAAAGGCAGGCTATAAATGACGTAAATAAAAAAAATAAATATACAGAGGCATAGGATGATGGAGCATTTTTACCATGAACATATGAAGAACTACTTTCAATATAACATTTTTCACTTCTGTATGACTTGCTCGTCCACTGGTAATAAAGACATATGAGCAATTGACTGTCTCAGATATATGCAATATGCAAGAAGGATGAGTGGGGGAAATTCACTTCTTGCCAATGACCTTGTCCACCTTTTACAAAGAGCTATACTTCTAAATTAGGTGAAGGAAAGACATTTTTCATGTCCAAATTACACTTGATTCATAAACTGGAAACGTAAATAGGCTGACAATGGTAAGGAAGCTCATTGGATCATCCTTTGCCACAAGCAATATGACAATCAATGCATATAGGATTAGGTAGTTAAACTGGCATATATTGTTATCTTAGAATCATAGAGTTGGAAGAGACCTCATGGGCCATCCAGTCCAACCCCCTGCCAACATAGGAGAAAACTCTGTACTCTTGCAAGAAAGTGTACATTGATTCTTTTGTGCCTTATTCCATATTATTTCCTGCCATTGGACTCATAAGCTAAAGGAGAAAAGATGGAAAAGTGATGTACACACACGCATTGTAGAGAAGTGTTTATTATAAAGGGTTTATTGTACTGTGTTTAAACTGTATTTATGTTTTACATGGG